AAGATGGTAGTTGCCCTAGAAGTGCACCAGACCACTAGTAACAGTGCTGTTATTCATACATACGTAGACGGTATTCAAGAAACCACTAAACTTGAATGCACTCACACATCTTTATTTACTCTATTTTTGGAAATGTTTATGTCCATCGTGTGCAAAAGGGGCATCGTAGCCACGCATACTGTAATTTAATGGTGATTTTATCATAACATAATCACCACTCCGTGTTTCGATCGGGTAATAAGAGCTGATTTTGAGGTGAGAAGATCCTGTTTACTCCATTTCTTATTAATATATCCCTTCTATTGCTTAGGTTTAATTTAATGATAGTTCCTCCCAGTCCAGTCTTGACTCCACTTATTTGATCCTTTAATTATTATTTACCGCGGTGTTTTATCAAAGACCGGGCAGGCAGGTAGGCACCCTTCTGCGAGTGCATTCAAGTCCTCCGCAATCCATACCCATGCAGCACACTACTGGAGGTCATTTTAAAACCGTTCCTATCTCAGAGCAAGGCATGGTAGGAATGTCTGGACATTGTTTTGCATCTTCTCGGAAAATTTTTTATTCTTTAATTGTTTTAATGTGTCTCCTTTAATTACGGAAGATTGGTTTCTGTAAAAGTTGTGAAGTATTCTTTCGTGATTTCCTTAACCTCAGTGGCCAGTTTACCCCAATCGAAATATTACATCTAATCAAAATTACTATTGTAAGGGCGTGCAAATATTATTTTAGGATTTCATCTGTAAAAAGGACAAAGCTCTCGAAAATAACAACTGCATAATAGTGCAAAGTTAGGCAATCATCAAATCGTAAAGCAAATTTTGCAACGAATATTCTTTAAAATAAACTATATTCTCACAATTAATGAATAGTAAATTGAGCTAGCAAAAAGAAATTTATGCATGAAATGTCAATACCAGTTGTGAAAGGTGTACCATCAGCACGGAGAAAAAGATGCCTAGCCCTTGAGGATATAGAGAGCAACTCCATGACATTGATTTATTTCTCAAGGGTCATAAAGGGCCCTCCTTATCCCCAAAGGGAGAGTCTTGCAAAATCACCACCCTCGTAGTCTCTAGACCGGAATTAAAGCCGCCTAAGCTGCTCTAGCGACGGGGCCTTTTATAGGAGAGTTCAGTGTTGAACCCTGTCCCCAATTCCGATTGGTCAATGCAGACAGGCATGCGCGCACCGGCATAGATTTGCATGCGTGTGTTGCTGGCACGCAATTATTATGCCTCCCCCTCCCGGCGTGTGTGTGTGGTGCAGTCGTTGCGTGCGGACGTGCCTCTCTCGTACCACCTGTGCTTTTGGACAGGTGCACAGGCTATTGATTGCACGCACCTCTGCCTTGGCTGCAGGCACAAGGCGCGTGCTCACCACACCGCACGCATCGATCCGCTCGCAGGTGCGGTGCGTGCCTGCACGGCAAATGGGGCTGATGAGTGCGCAGGCCCTCACTGCACTGATACTCTTCACTTCGCCTAGCACCGGATTTTACCCACCAGTGCAGGAACACTAGCAGGGTCTCTTCTGCTTCCTTCGAGTGCCTCCATGAAGCCGTTGCGAGCTTTCCGAAAAGGTTGACTCTAATACAGAAGACGGATCATCACTTTGCTTAGTTTCTCCGCTTTTGTCAGCAGTTGAGAAAGACATAAGCAGACTAATTGACACCTGCGAAGGAATTAAGACAAGTAGAGGTTTATGCTACAATCTTTCTGAAGCAAAATACACCCCAATTACTAATACACCTAATTATTTCATTGGATGAGGCTTCACAAGTTGATTTAATGGCCAAAGTTTCAAACGTATTTGAGTGTTTAAGAGAAAGAGTAAGCACAAAAGCTGCTAAAAATACCAAAAATTGATTGGTATAGCTGGCCACAAAGTCCTTGATGCAGTTTCAATGGAGAGTAGTGATGAATAGCTGCACTTGAGTGCCCTTCCTCACAGCTGAGATTTGTAATTCATCCGAATATCTGTAATCTTGCCATCTTGTTAATCTTTTGGGGTGGAAACCGTGATGTGATGTCACAAACAACTGCCAGCAGTCACTTGTAATCAACCTCCGTGAATCAGACACTATTTTTGTTTTTGTGAGTACACTAAGGCACATGCTTAGTCTACTATCCCGAACGAATTCTTCATCATTAGTAGGCCTTTGCCATCCCCTTTTACTTAATCAGTAATGCCATTGTTAAGTTTTTTAATCCACTGGAAAATTGTTTCATTGATCTGCCACGTCTTTAAAACAGTTCCAAGCTTTCGGTGGACATGTGTTTTGCAGAGTTAATACCAATTTTCTTATTTGCGCTTGCATATTATATGATGCGTTAGTTAGAAAAACTTTTCGGCATTTTGATCAGTAGTTTAAGGGAGATGATAGAACACAGAGAGAAGAAGTATTACAAGTTACTTTTATGAGGTTAACTGGATTTATGTAAAACACTCGTGTCAAATTTCCCTATAATCACAGTATTCCGCATCTGTTTTACAAAGCGTTATTTGTTAACAGTTTACTTTGAGTAAAATCACGCAGACCATCAACGGTATTAAGTAAACAATTTGAAATTGTGCAAACCTGCGGCAGCGAGTGTGCGCATTGGTCCACGACATCAAAAACGTCTGCTCAAATAAAAAGCCTGACGACCAAGCATGGGCCTCCGCTCTGCAAACCCAGCTGACCTTTGAACGCGCACTCGAGATGCTCAGCTGAATAGCTGAGTGTAAGAGATGCAGTGGCACCGTGGGCAGTTCCACTTAACTGCTAATCGGAGTCGTGAAGCTACAAAGTCCAAAAGGACTGCGCAAATGTACAAGCACTTGGGTAGACCCTGCACCGACTCAAACGAAATGTAAATTTGCGCTTCACTTGCAGAAAGTAGTAGTACTTCAAAGCAGAAGAGGTGTAAGTCGTAGACCACCCAGCTTAATGCAGTCATGGTCACAATGCGAGTGGCGATACTATCCTAGGTAGATTAGGCCACGAAGCACGTAGATCTTATTCCTGCAGCATAACTCTGCAGTGATCTCTCCAAATCACTTCAAGTTTCGCTCCTTAATCTGAACCAGAGGAGTCTTTAAAAAAATACATGCAAATGAAATTACCTCAAACTTCATGTTATGGAGTTCGGCTAAGGCTAGAATCAAATGCTGTGCCACATGCATTTATACTCTTAGAAGAGATTCTTGTTCGATGGGAAGAGTGGTTATTCTTATTTCATCACTTCACTTGGATACATCCTAAGTGAAGAGAGTATCTCATTTAGATAAAATTTCCGGTCAACCTTTGCGCTTGAGGGTGATAAAATTCATTAAAGTAATTGGCATAAATCTTTTCAAATCACTGAACAACTAATATGGCTATAATTTCCCCATCAAAGCCTCTTTTTGAAAATAATCCATGAAAATAAATCAGCTGTACAGACAAATTCGTTTTAAGAAAGCGGAGGAAGAAAGCGAACAGAGTTGAGACTTAATAGTACAGCGTAAATCGCTCGATGGAAAGGCATGTGGGTGGCGTGTACTACCAGGGATTTTCGACACATCATCCTCCCTCCACTTTGCATATCTTTTGCGCCATTATTGAATGGACCACAATCTTACTCTTTGCATGGTCAGCAAACCACCCCAGCAGATGATATTCATTAAACACTAATACTGCGTTAGTTGTACCTTGTTTACTGAAATATAAAAAAACACAGAGACTTCCCCTGGTACCATGGATCTCATTGCCAACTATTCTATTATTCTAACGTGGTAACACAGTAGTCAGTGGGACGGTTATAAACAAATCTTTTGTGAGTGACTTTCTCGTGAGCCGCCAGAGCCAATACGATACGACGACGAATAAAATGAACGCCTTGGAAGGTGCGTAGATCACGGGTAGAAATGTTACTTGAACCATGCTTGCTGAAGCAATCTCAGCTTGATTTATCCACTTCTATTTAATTAAATGGTATTGAAACCACATTGTGTAATGCAGCCGGGTAACGCTTTCAAACGCAAGCCTAGAAATTCCGATTACATTTCCCAAGTCTTATTTCTTTCCTTTTCTTCACATTTTTTCATTTCAAAAGCAGCCCATGTTCAAACCACTCTCGACTTGGTGCCCATGGTCCACAAGTAGACCGCAGTTGTAAATCTAATCGCATTCAAACGTATATCCGCGTCTTGGAGCCTCACGTTTCGTGGATTGACGAGATTTAAAATCAGTGTCACTAGTGGTGAGAAGCAAGTGCCTTGATTGCACCCCACAGCGATCCATTACCGACAATTGTGCCGAAAATGCGGCTGGCGACAAGACTAAGAGGGCAAAGTGAGGAACATTCTGAAATAATTATATGCAAATCTTTCACCCAATGCAAATGAGCAGTCGTAGGACCTCATGTTTTTCACATGGAATTAATCAGCATGTGTGGTGCGTGCAAGCATGTTGGCATTGACAACATGCAAGCAAACAGCCCCAGAAAAGTGCACGAACCGTTGCCAAGCGGCTTTGATCGTACTCACTCCTGGGTATAGCCATGTCTAGCCTCCCAGCTCGAACAGCGACTACTTTGGGTTGTATTTCTTGAGAAAAATAGCGTACTGGGTTAATTTTCCTGTGTAAGCCATTCCAAACAATTAACTGTTACCATATGATGAGTTGGTGGTACAGAACGCAGACGGTTTACATCGCGAGAATTCGCTTGAGGCAAATTCTGGACCTCAAAAGTAAACGAATTACCAGCCAAATCAAATGCCTAAATCGCAAAAGTTTCAAGAATACTTCTGTATTTATTAAATTTCGTACAAACTATCGTGGGATCGAGTAGAAGGCTTGTCGACCGTTCTATATGCGGTGACACCACTAAAATACAATCCAGAATAGCTGATTACTTCCTACTTTTGTTGCAAATAATAGTACTATTAGGTATGTGGAACTTACCAGGTATAGCCATGACGAAAACATCTATTTGGCGACGATACCTTTTCAACCGATATGCATTAATGATAATTCAACACCAGATTTTTCTAACAGTACGAGGGTTGGGAATGAAAAGACCATACCCTGACAAAAGTTCACAAGCTAGCTCGAAACTCAGGGGACTCCGAAGACCCATTTCAAAGAAAGTAACATTGAAATTCTAAGCGAAAACGCGTTAATAAAGTATAGCAGTATGGGATGGTCACATTTTCTAAATATTGTAAACTAATAGTGAAACCAAATAGAGTCCAGGCAATCCAGTTACTGATGCTCTAACAGTGAATGCTTGTGGATCAACAAACAAAAATTGACGAAACGCCATCCTTTAATGAATGCAAAAGCCGCATATTAAGGTGCCAAGATCAAAAACAAAATACTACCATAACTCTATCAGTAGCATTTACATTGAGTTGACACCTTTCGTCTTTTTGGTTTATCACGATTATCAGAAAGTTGTTTATTACAGATATGAACTTTGCCGTTCTTTGGTCGGAAGCACATGTCACACTTGACACAGTGTTGGAAGCCCGGAGGATGACACACATTACATGATATACAGTGCTGATATGTTTCACCATGCTAAAAAGAACAACGCATTAGAGTTCTTAATTGATGGCATTGACAGAGATGATGCAAACGAAAAATGAACTCACAAAAGTCGTGCAGGCGTTGCATTGGTCGCAGTGCAAGTTTTTCAAGTCTGAGTATCGTTGGCAAATCTCACAAAACCAATACTGATCGGCGAGACTTTTAGGGGGCAGAATTTCATGAGCAGGTACATCGGTGAATGGTCGAACGACAGAAACTCTTCGTTTCGAGTTATTTCCGTCATATCCTGTACTCATGAACCGCACGTGCTTCTCGTAGGTCACCTAGGCTGAGAATCAATCAAACCTCAAGGCTTCGCCTACCTTATAATCGAGCATTTTCAGTTCCGGGGCAGCTTGCAGAAGTTTTTTGCCGATGAAATATGGAACTGTCACCATCACAAAAACCTGTGTATTTTCCAGTCCTCGCTTAAGTTTGTTCAGGCTCGCCACAAGGGGTTCCATCAAGACTCCGAAAGGAGGATCGCAGAATATCATAGTGCGCCCACCGCAAGAGCGCATAAAATTGTTGAAGGAATCCTCCCCGGCGGATTTGAAAAAGTGGCCGTTGAGAGCATTAAAGCGGGTGAATAGGGAAGCAGGATAAAAGCCTTCCTAGTTCAAGCAGGTAATAAAACTACCAGTGTCTCACCAGACGAGCGTCAAGATCAAGGAGAAACTTATTTATGGATAGAGGTTCACTGACATCCTGGCTACAAGCCGTGAGGAAATCAAACAGCCGAGGAGTACCAACACAGAGGACGTTATCAATTCGAAGGATGCGAAGAGTGGAAGCCATAAACTTTAGCCAGTCTTCAGAAAAGTAGTATTGCTAAATGAAACAATCCATTTAAAAATGGTGAGAAATAGCGTGTCTGTTACACATGAACAAAGAAGAATATGAGTAGCGTAGACGGTATTACTTTAGTTCCTCAAAAGGATCAAAAAATACTCAAGTTCTGAAGTTCTCATATCTTAAATACGCAAAGAGTTTGATGTGTACTCATCACGAAACGCTATACATTGGTGGGGAATTTTAAGCCACATGAGAAATTTTACAAAATTTTTTTGATTAAAGCGGATTTGAGGGGAGTTTGGGCATCGCGACAAAACTAAATATTTAAATAGACATTTGGATAGAGTAACTATTTTGTTTCCAAATTTCACAAGTTTAAGTAGGGGGATGCAATAAGTGTAGAATGCTGTAAGACAAGTTACATACAGCATGTTCGGAGGATTCTTCAAGTGGTTCAAGAAAGTATGAGGGCATTGCTAGTGTGGAGCTTGGCAAACCACTTATCACACGGTGATGCTCATGTACAAAATCAGGATATACGAACAACACGCGACAAGTTTGACAATAGCAACGACTTTGGCGCGTGTATTTGACCAGCGACTCCGCGGTCTGAGAAGGCAACTGAGAGGACATGAAATCCCTGTCTCTGCTGCAAGCCGATGCGTTACGGAAGGCAGAACAAACATAGATTGAGGACCCTCTATCCTTTCGTTTTAGACAGAGCTTGGGACCTCAAAATAAGTAAAAATGATGACAGAAAACAATGCTTTAGTGAACAATAGGGGAAAAACCGGTGCAAACAGGTGCCGTTGGCTGTCAACAAGAAGCATCTCCGATAAGTCAGCACGCATCTTATTAACACAAAGCTAAAAAATGATTTCGGTAGCTAGGACAAAGTGATGCAATTTCCCAATCAGAATTAATGATTTGACTGAAGACAATTGAGACTAGAAATACGGTTTTAACAAAATCACCGCACGTAGTGATAAACTGCGTTTGTTAACTCAACTACCAGATTCGCACATATCAATGAGTGAAATGAGATTCGAATGAAGCAAAAATTTACATGAATCGGAGACTTTTAAGGATCTAGAAAAATATCTTATTATTAAAGAAAATGCCTTTAGTCCCAGCCAAATAACTTGACCAGTATATAATAGTGCGTATTTCATTACCATGAGCGCAGCAAGGTGCACCATCTTCAGCACAAACTGTCGAGTAAAAACCACGCTTACGAGCACGCCCCTTGCCCATGCCTACACCAAGACCACACTCGACTTTTGCCCAAACAATTTCAATTACTGTAACCATTATGACTAACCAATCACCTAGTAGAGGATAGACTAATAAAAGAGTGAGACTGTGTTTAAGAAGTAATTCACATAGAATATAAGTTATTGTTACCGTGATATCTGCTAAGAGTTTATTAGAAAATTCGAAATTCAAAAGTGGAAAGTTCGACTGGTTCCCTGTGTGATTTACAACTGCGAGGTCTTGGGTTGTTTTAACTTAGATTGGAAGACTGAATCTCTTGAGGATATTAGGGTTTGTTTAGCGGAAGTGGAAACATCTGAAACGTTTAGGGTATGTGAGTTTTATGCTCATTCACGGCACTTCGTACGTAGGAAGTTTTTGTATCTACTCACCTCGACAAATTAAAGCCTACCGCTTGGAAATAACTAAGTGCGAAAGTAGTATGATGAAGGGTTTAAAGTGACTAATACAACCGGTGTACTTTGACGCGACAAAATTGTGTGCCCAGTTTGAGTTCTGACCATTCAAATGCATTTCATGTCCACTGCAGACATTATTTGTGAAGACTATTCGGCTCTTGTGAATAAGCAATCTTACTCATCCCTGATAACCATAACTCCCAAGATGACAGTCGAACGGCTTGTCCGTCGATGAGAAGCAAACACATGTCGCAGTGACTAAGGGCTTTCAACCATTTACTCGCGCTGCAATACGTGCTCAAATGCTCCACCGAACGTTGGGACGTTTACCGGGCCGCACAAATCGCAATAGGTAGCACCATACAAGCATCACCCGCCCGGTATTCGCCTTTACTAACCCCTTGCGGAGAACGCGCAATCTAAGACCGTCAATAGCCCACCCGCAAACCCTCAAACACCCAAGGCGCAAATCCATTCCAGATGGGTCCTCCAAAGTTAGTCGACCGCAGGCTGTCAGCACGGAGATACCTCAGATCGCTTGGCTAAGATTTTGTTATCAACATTAAGCGCAAAAACAAGCATAGTTGGCATGGGCTGTCTTGTGGGATTATGCGCAGATGGCAAATCTGCAGTGGCAGCGCCTGGCATGGAGCTATTATGCAGCTCCTACATTTCCATGCGAGCACACACCCAAGGCACGCAAACTGCCCTCACTGTCAGGAAATGTGCCGTCGTGGGGGGAGCGGTGGTGTCGAGGCTAGATTCTCCGGGTGGAGAGTGTCAAAGAACTGCCTTGAGGGGTTGGAAGACGAGGCGGAGGGCGAGAGACCCACTGCCACCGAGGATGTCCGCTGGCCCGGCTTCGGAGGCAGTGGAGGCAGTCCGCCGTCCACACCCGCCGCTGCCCCCTCCCCTGCCAAGGTTGAAGCCAGAACCGTTGTTAGGGGGAAGAGGGGACTAGGGCTGTGCGACGCCGAAGCAGGCGACGAGGTTGAGGGTCCACTGCTGCTTTGTCGTCTTGGTGGTGGTGGAGGAGGGGGAGGCAGTGGCGGAGAGGAAAGCGGCGAAGTAAGTGGTGGAACGGTACATGTCGGCAGACGACCGTTGCTTAGACTCTCCATTTGGCCGTCCGAAATACTGTGATGGTGGATTACTAAAAAAGGTGCCAAATGACTACAATCTTCCTATGTGATATTCAGGCAACACGCCGGGCATAATTAAGGTTAGGTTAAGACTTGCGGAGTTGGAAGTCGTGCATTCTTCAAAACCATCCTCTCAAGTGAATATAAGCAGGCATCGTCTAACCGCAGTTAGGGAGATATAGTACCCTAAACAACGGAAAGTTTCTGAATTGGCTGGTAACACATATACCCCTATCGGTGATGCCATAGAATACGGTTACGAACGAGGTGTACGTGTAGTGAAAAGGAAGGACCAACCTCCAGTGGAGGAGGCGGTGGTTGGTGAAGAGAGAGGTCGTGGCAAGGGCGTGGCAACTCCATGAGCGGGAGTCAGTCGTGCTTGCCGGCCGGCTCGGTGTTGGCGGAGCCGTGTGTTCCAAAGCACTACCACGCGCTGCTCCGCTGGTGCCAGTGGTGGTGGCGCGGGTGCCGAGGCCAGCAGTGGAGGAGACGGAGGTGGTGGGGGCACCGGTACAGAGGGGTTTGGAGGACTCGAGAGACGCGGTGACGAAACCCTTCCTGAAGACTTGATTTGACGTGGACTGAAGTAGGCTTTGTAGGTAGCCACCTGTTCGTGCTGTAGTTTTTCTTTCAATGAAAGACCGCCCAAATAGTTGGCTGCCTGGATCGCTTCCTTGCTCAATCGCCGCTCCTGTAACATGCAAAACTACTGATAAATAAAAGCCATTTACGATTCTTTACATCCATTTGTGCAAATGCGCAATCGATAATTCCGATTTTCTACAATACACAGAGTAGTGAAACCTTTCTTCCCAAGGAAAGAAAGATGTCGTGATTACTCTTGTTCGAAAGTACTTTTCTCAAGGAGAATTCTAAATTTGTGGATGACTAAGAAGTTGACATTCAGCTACACATATAACAAATGTAACGATCGTCGAAAATATAAAAACATTTGTAACCAACTCACTGCAGCATCTTTTCAAAATTAAAACCCATATGAACCCTTTTATTATAAGGAACTTGCTTATTTGCAACTCAACCTTCATGAATTAATAAAGCGATGTTTTCTTTAAAAGAAACCTCCTATGAAAGATATTTTCTTAAAAATCCCACCTGACTTCGAAACACAGGTACCCAGTGAATGATTGATTTAGAACCCAAAATATTGAGCTTCTGAAGCACCAGCGATACAAATTGATGACAAGAACCGAAGTAGCGGAAATTACTAAAAAAGACAAGCTATCCGGCTTCACGGTCTAGCTAGCACACAAGACATGAAGACATTTTCAGACCAATGTGTAGGCACAGATCTGGCAAAGCTTATATTTCAAAAAAGTGCTTAAAACTGCAATAACACGGAATGACAATGGTGAAAGAGAGGGTGTAAATTTCAAAGCACCACTCATAAAACTCGCACTTCCGTAAATATCAAATGCCAAATCAAACAATGCTTCCAAAACGTTAATTCGTGACAAATTTTAAAGAGGCCGATCACATAAGGATGTCAGCGGATCAAAGGATGAGGGACAAGCGGACTAACCACTTCAGGAGCAGGCTGTGGAGGCTCGGATAGAGGCTCACGAGGTTCGTAGCTCTCCGAAAGCGCGTACATTCTGGCTTCGAAGTCTCTCTCTTCGGGAGTGAAGGCTTCCAGAGAGGCGACGAGAGCCTGTTGAATACGCGGCTTGAAGGGAAAGGTGTAGGGCACGAGCTGATGCTGGAGAAAACGCTCGACGATCGCCGCCAGTCGGCGTTGCTTGACGAAGTTGATGAGTCCACCGGTGCCGGCGTCTGTACTGGTGTCATCGAACGGCGCACCAGTGGGGGTGACGCGGTCGGGTTGGTGCAGCTCAAGGTGGATGAGCTGCGTGGAGACCCGCATGGCAATGTAAGGTAGACAGGGTGACGTAGTGGTGGTGGGGGCTGTGGAGGCCTTCTCCACAGATGTCGGCCCCTCCCCACCTTCTAGCCCGCGACTCGCCTTCGTCACTCGCCGTGCCGGTCCTCGACCCTCTCTCTGTAGCTGCTGCACCCACTTTCGGTAGGGTCGAACACGACTCGCTGCCTGCGGGGTTCATCGACAAGTGATTAGATAGCTCTCATACAACTTACGCATAGTTACACCGGATAGATTATTCTATTGAGCTCACAATTTGGCATGATCGACTTAGACAAGGACTGGATCAAGCAACTATCGAAGCATAGGAAAAGCACATAGGTAGCCTATTTGGACAGATGGTTGGGTTCTGCTTTCACAGATTATACTTAGCAAACACGACCAATAATATCTATTTTAAGGAGTCTAAAGATGTACAAATTGAATGACGTAAATACCTCGAAGGCCTTCTTGAGACGAAAGACGGAGGCAGAGAGGAGAACCGCCTTAGACTCTTGACGGCCTTGAAGATTTCGGTGATGTTCAAAAATGAGCATCAAATCAATGATCCGTTGAATGGCAACGACCCGGTCCTCGAAGTTGCGTTCAGAGAGGATAGAATACACCAACCAATCTCGGAACTAAAAGTGGTAGTTACTGTGCCGCTAACTCAATTACTTAGAATTGAATATGTAAGAATGTATGGTATGTATGTATGTATATGTATGTACGAATCCCACTGTGCTATTAAGGAACCGATTTTTTGTCAAATAAATTAGGTACAGTTTCCCCGAATATAACTCACAAGACAATCTTATGTTCAATCAGGTTATTTAGTTTTAAATACTTAGAGGTTGACTTCAGCCGCTCACTAGGCCACCCATTACTACGCGCATGCCCGTGATGCGTAGTAGAAGGGTTATGAACTGTAGAGATGTGTCAAGTTCAAATTCTACTTATTTTAAGGGATACGCACCTTGTTAGAGAAATTTTTACAGGCACTAAGGTTGGGCGAGTCCTGTGAGGAGCGTTCACGACCATCCACCTCCCAGAATTCAATCCGGCGGTATAATTCAAACTCGTGAAGGGTCACTTGCTCAGCCAACTCAAGAGGATGAATCTACAACGGATATAAGCACTTGAAAAAGCGATAGCATAGCCACTCAATGAGGGCAGAATTAGGTGAATTCAAGCGAACAGCCCTGAGAATGATTGTGAAATACTCAGACTTACTCAACTATCAACCTTAAAGTTGGTGAGACGACTTCAACAGGAGCAATGTTAAAGCGTCACAGAAATACAAAAAAATACAGTAATCATGAGGCCGTTGGCGCTTAGTGTGAATATGAGTGCGCACAAAGCATGATTTGCCTAATTGAGGTCAACAGAAAAGGTGTCCAACCATTGAAAAGAGTTAAATTTTTAGGTCTGTGACGTTTCGGAATGAGAAAGTAGTAAAAATTGTCATTAAGCAATGTTTAACTCAGTTAAAATCATGACAGGGGGTAATAGAATGTCTTTCGTTGGATATTTATGCATAGGTACAAATAATATATATCTCAAGAAAGAAAAAAGGATAAATTATGGTGTGTGAATATTGTAAGTGGTCTGAGGAGCTGACTCTCATCTCTGACCCATTAGGACTGTACCTTTTCGGAACAATCCCTCCCTCTCTTCTCTGCCCGGGTACTAATCACTAAAGAGGAATATTTTCTCCTTAAAAAAAAGAGTTAAACCAATACGATTCATCAGTGTAGAGACAAAAAAAAACATTTTAGATTAAATTGATCAGAACTAAACCTGAAGTAGATCGATACGTGGGAGAGAATCTGAGAAGAGCGGAGGTGGCTGACTGAGGTGTTGGTTATCAACGGTCTCCGTGGCTCTTAAACGGGCGGGGTGGTGACCTTTAGGTTCAGTGATGGCAACGGCGACCCCCATGGAAGTAGTGATGGGGGTGACAGGCACAGTTATCGAATCACCCCTGGTGAGGACATGCTCGATGGCCTGTACTACGGGCAGGAGAATGCGTACACGCACGCCGGCCAGAAAGGTGGCGAGGCGAGCACGGAGGTCAGCGTTGGGCGCGAAGTCGTAGGCGAAGTAGCGGGGTGAGGACGCCCACTTAAAGAGAAAGGCCACCACACGCGCCTGCACCCACCTCTTGTAGCCGGAGCGAAAGCGTCGCTTCATGTGCTCCACCACACTCTCCGTCTGACGCTCTTCTGCAGTGAAGTCTGGGTAAGGCACATTGAAACGCTCTAGCAAAATATCGAGCAGCTCTTCTGGGGTGATAAATCGGCGGTAGGAGATTAAAAAAGCGTTGACAGCTTCAGCGTCAAAGTAGGCAGGGTAGGTGAGGCGTTCAATGAGCTTTTCAAGGGTGGCGTACTGAATCTGAGGTCGATAGTGAGTAGGATGGTAAGATGGGAGACTGGGAATCCCCGACGAGGTGAGTATTTGGGAGCTCAGATGCGGCGAATGGATACGAGAAGAGGTGGAGGCTGGGAGGGGAAGGGCAAGGTCCTCGTCGGCTCCCCCGAGAGAATCCTCGTCAGTAGGGGTGGTTGGAAAGAATTCCACATCAACAACTTCTACTTCGTCGTCCAATTCATCGAGGGAGTCAAAGGGGTCATCCACAGACGCCGTTGTCGAAGAGGAGCGGATTCTACTTGACAACGAGGGCTGGAGCAGACGATGAGTAATAGTAGCAGTACCGGAAGACTGACCCGCTGCTGATTCGAAAACTATCACTTCAGGCGTGTCGGGTTGAGCAAACCTAAAGATGAATTTTGTAGTCCTTGAAGCAACGTAAGATGGCACTATACGTTTTACACGGCAATACCAAGTCAGAACACGTAATAGGTGCTTCAAAATACTTCACATTTAAGCTTTTTTTCATAAAGTCATGGTCTAAAATCAGTAAGACGCAAAGTTTGGATATCAAACCATACTGATGGCCATTCCCGATATATTTTTACCGAATCACCACAAATGAAGCTCATTAGATTCATTTAAACATTCAAGATTTAATTATTTATTAATTAGTCTGAGGAAAGATACGTAATTTTCTCACTTGATAGCAACAATAGCAAGCCTTTCTTTCTTATTAATAATAAGACATCATTCAATGTGATACGACAGTAAGAGGGACGCACCTGTATTTTTCAGGTGAAGGAAGTCTTAAAGGAATTTCTAGTTTTGGCAAAGTTCGTAGATAGCGCTCGAAAACACTGGAGAGGAAAAAAGACGTAATTTCTTTAATCACCTGGCAAAATGTTTAACAAAGTTGAGAGGATGGTGATATCGACAGCACCAACTGCGCTATATAATGAATAAATTAAAGCTTTAAATGGCTTAAGGAGATGGTGATGTGAGACTTGTGAAATTGAAAAGAATGCTCACGCGGGAGAGCACTCACCGTGATGTTGTTATGCTCAAAAGTGAGGCCATCCAATCGGCCTTCTCTTCAAGGCAAGATGTCTCAAGGTGAAGATAGTGAAGGTGCACACCTTGCAGCACCTCAAGGCCGCCGTTACTGAGAGCCGAGGCGGCGGAGCTGCCGTCGCCTCCCCCCACACCATCAGACGTGGTGCAGAGCTGGCGCTGGTCAGTGCCAAAGAACTCCAGACTGAATGAGCACTGCTCAACATCCTCTACCGTGGCGTGCAGATGCTGATTTGAATCTGTAAGCCAATCGCAACCTTGCCAAATCTAAGTGCTTGACAAGTGTCAGATGAATTTATATTAGAAGGCGCTAGGGATGTCGTGCCAATTCATCGATCGTTCGTTATAAGTGCGATTTAAATGGATAATTTGAGCTAACAAACTGGTATGACGGTTGTGCAGTAATCATGGCATTAAACCTACAACACCAAAGTGTGGAAAAAAAAGGTACCAACCAGAGACGGGGCAGCGAGAGAGGAGTGAGGCACACTCTGCAAGGGAGTTGTGGGGGTGGGAACCGGAGAAGGCCTCGGGTCGAGGCCGGACAGGCGCAACGCAGTCAATGACATGGGCGGCCTCGAGGGGAAGACGCCGCTTAACTCGCAGCAGCGGCTGCGTGCCCGCCACGGCCACCATCGATGGCGCCAGGGTCGTGCGGCGTTCCATACGTTTGCAAAGGAGGAGGCAATTCGTGAAGAGGTAGGCCTGCCGCTCCGAGGCAACCCGCTTCCCCTCGTCTCTCACCCATAGACGACCTTCTAAAATAGGAAAATAAGACATCATTCAGTACGTTGAGCCCCCGTGAATGAATTACTTCTTGCACGGGTATGTATGTGTACAAATGAACTATTGTTAAATCTGATTATGCGCACTAGGATCAAGAAAAAACTGTGGTATTTGGTTGAAAATGATACCCAACCTAAGGCACTTTTTGAAATTGGAAAAAGGTTTATATACAAAGACGGAAGGTTTTTACAAACAGGCTTGGATATTATAACAATAAGAACTCTTACGACGTTTTTTCCCATTTGGCAATCGTGGCAACCTTACCCATTACAAATTTTCCCATTGTGGAGCTGGCAACGGAGGCGGAAAGGAGGCGGTCCTTACCACCAGTGAGACGTTCCAACTCCTCTAACTTGGCCTTTGTCACCACACCACAAACACCACTCATGAGAGTGGACATCATGGAGTCCACATTTTCCTCCACCTCCTCCTCCGACACCACCGTCGTCGTTCCTGATCCTGACACAGTGGTCGTGGGCGTCCCCACGACGAAAGGGGAGGCCGTATAGCCACCACCCGCACAAAATACAGCCGACAATGCCAACATGGGTGTCTGGTGTGGTGGAGGCAGCGGCTGTGACTGCGGTGGAAGTGGAGGTGTGTTACAGCGGTAGTATTGGTGCTGATGTTGAGTGGAGGAATTGCGACGGATGGGCGGAGTCATGGAGGTAGCAGGTGAGGCGGAGCAGCTGCGGTGGTGCGAGTTAATTCCCGTGGGACTGATGACCTGATGACTGCAGAAACTTGAGGCAGTGGACGTCTGGACGGTGACGAGGTGCCCAGTGGTAACTAAACGAGCCAGTTGGACGTGGAGATCCGGGTATCGGGAGAGAACGCTTTTTATATTCAGTCGAGCACTCAAGAGATAGTCTACAACAAGCATGAGAAGCTTCCGATCCTCAGAGTCGTAGGCCTGTTGATGTAGTGCCTAAAAAAAGGAGAGTGGATTGTGGGATTTCTCTTCCACGAATTTGAGATTAATAAGAAAAAAGAACATACGTGCACCAGGCGATAAAAATGGAAAAATTGGAAAATAGGAAGGAAGAGAAGACGTGGAAGAAGATAGCGAAAACAATTGATAAGCGCATTGCAGTTATATGAAGGTGGGGAAACATCTTTGGTGGTGGAAGAGGAGTACTCTTTCTGGTCCCACATTCGGCAGGATGGGCAACATAGTGAGTGGAGACAGGTGAGACGTGAATCGGTCACATCAGTTGACGTTGTCTGAATATATAAACCAAAAAACACTCAAAACATAAGAAAAAAATTATTTAAAATCCCAACATCCACAAAATTGCACTCATTTTTTAAGAATAGTCGCTGATATTACTAATACTAAATCTAAGAAGATGAAAATTAAAAGCAACGATATTTGAAAGTCAAATGCTATTACTTTCAAACGGGAGACGGTGTGTACAATAGCTCGACTAGATCTCGCAAGGCTTTCAAGGACATCGGTACGTTCTGAAAGCCTCCAAATATTATTGAGTGGATCTGGCGAGTCCGAATAACTCGCCAGAGCAATTTCTTCAGCGGGTTCGATCAAGAGACGGCCAACGAGACGACGGTTCTCTGTTGTTGCCGTTGTTGTGCGACAAGAAGAATCATCGGTCTCCCGTTGCTGACTGGCTGAAGGAAGGGGATTAGAGAAAGGAGATGAGGTGAATGGCAAGTCATCAGCGCAGTCAGACTCGAGATAGTCAAGAAGGAGACGAAAGTTGTTGTAGAGGTCGAGAGCGTCCCGAAAGACCTCTCGCACGGCTGCCTCTTCGGAGCCAACGTGGAGAGAGGCGCAAACTGGGGAGTGAAGTATGGGCTCGCGGAACACCCGTAAAATAAGATTCATTTGCTCAAGACTGGAGGAGAGGAACAGTACCAACTCATTCACACACCTAGGTTAAGGAGCCAAAGGAGAGTATTTTAGAAACGTCACGAAGCCATACTTGCCTCAGAAATTGGATAAGACGTATGGATATTCCGATCACCTTTCAATTAGTTATCCTAATCAAAAAAGGGAAGTGAATGCGTGGTATACGAAAAGAGGGAGGTACGTTCAATAAACTAAAACACAAAAAACTTTATCAGTTAATCGGGGGATTAAATGTAAATAAGAGGTGATAACATTCAACTAGATAGATAGTTAAACAGCCAACGCAAAATTTGACAAATTCTTCTATGCTTTCCCTGTCCATGGCTAAAATACGAAGGTACTTATTTAAAAATGAATATGTGAAATTAAAATGCATCCGTAGTGAGCGAAATTGACGATAATAAATGGAGTGCAAGCAAGTAGTTATTAATTCGCAATGCGGTGGGTAGTCCGTGTCACTAGAAAATAAAATTATTCCAGAACACAACCTTGCAGCATAACTTTTTAAGTTTTGAACCGGTATTCACCTTACAAAAGTAGAAAATATTTCTTAACGTGAAAACAAAACAATTCCAGTGATGGCTACCCTAATGGTGGAAAGACGCAGCCAGCATTACTTCGTGGATAAATCGGTAAGTAGTCAAAGTACAGATAAGAAAAATGTCGGAAATGAAATATCGTCTTCCCGTAACATCGAATAGGCGAAATAGATTACTGATCAAATACTGAAGATGAATAAAGAAGTGACACTCACTTGTTATAGTCCTGGGGAAAGTTATTCGTAAGCATAATATCCAATTGTTTACGTTGTGACTTTACACGATCACGGTAGAATTGAAATATGTTCTGTGTATGAAAGAAGAAAATAACTCGAACTACCGAGCAATGAAAGTGATGTTACTAGATTTCATTCGAGCAAATAAGACGCAAAAAGAACTAAGCTTATTCGCTCTAGAATCATCCATTACCTGCCGTACAGAGTAAAAAACAATTTACATAAAATTAGACTAAGCAGATAAAAAATGGAATATTTAGTCCAGTAGTCAAGCTAATCATCCATCCATTACTTGTAAAGAGACTTAATAGGCTTGATTTTACAGACTTTTGCTTTCTCTACTGGATCACCAAGTAAACAAGTCATTAGTTGTCGTCCAAACAGATGAGGTACTGGTTGTTTATTTAAAGCTACCACCAAAACGCCAAACGGTTGGAATGCACAGATCTAGCCAAAGTTTAGGTGCAGTAGCATATCCTCAGGATTTGCGAATGGTCCCGATTTGCTTCTAATAGGAATGCTCAATTTTGACACGGCACGAAACGCAAAACAGCCACGCTCACACACGACTCGGACGAAGGGTAAATATCCGCGTAGTGGCAAAAAGACCAAGGTTAGTGAAAATGACACAGCGCTCGCCTTAAAAGTTAGTGGACCTCGCTACTACCCATTGCAAAGGCATTTTAATGGCACAAAGCTATATCTTACAAACTTCATTTCACTGAGTATGCGAATGCAATTGCGAACTATTTGCAAAGAGCAAGTGCATGATACGGCAACCCAGTCCCACACGCGCGCATGCCGAGAGTGAGCCATCATAATCGACTCAAGAAACAGAGGCCCTTGGAGAAAGGTAAGGCTGGGGTCGGATTGAGCGAACTATTGACAATTTGGATGAGGCGCGGTGTATCGTACCTTGGGAGAGCGAACACCAACTCCCACGTAACCATTCCTAGTCCGCGAAGATGCTAGTGATGCATGAAGACAGCTAGTTAATGTGCCATGGTTGCTGAAATTGTTATCTCGATTTCGGCTGACAACGTAAACATGAAGATGACATGAGTAAAATAAACATTGCACACTTAGGAGACCAGCAGGAGAAAAAGTAGCCCGTTTGATGCTTATCACCATAGAGTAACCAAATAATGATCCGACCAAAATTGATATGTAGGATGCATTTCATAACAGCAAACCTACGTTCAAATATACCAGGATTCCGATTTAAAATCAAGGCACTCATTGCACACGTTGGATGCTTTGTCGCATTATGAAAATCGAGTTGATAAATGCATTCGTTGCCAGCCCTCTCTCCAGCCCATACGAGCCGTCACCGTACAATTCAAGCGGAATAAATAGGATCACTTGCAATATGCGTCCAAAGAACTACATTTAGTGAATATAGTATTGATGAGGCACTCTCATTCCCAATGGTACGCATATTAAGACATTTTGAAGGTATTATGTACAGATCTACAACTTCCAAAAGATAATAACAGAATACCTAGTTCGAGTATAGCCCCGGATGACAATTGTAGCGCTGTGCAGATCATTTTATAAATGCACCTTCATTGAATATAGGACAAAATTTATGAAGGACTTCAACTTGGCCCTTGAACGAATGACTGATGCAGCAAATATCTAATCAGTACATTAAAAAATGGGAACATTTGAACGCACATATGAGAATGTTTTAATAGTCAAGCTTACAGGCATGATTTGAGGGGAAGTGGTTTCCAGAATTCAAACTGCTGAAATTTTTGCAAGTCATATTTTTAATAAGTGTCACGTTTGCCATATGACAAAGACAAGTAGTGGAAGTTCACTCCTTCTTACAGGCACTTTCAAAGAGTGCTTATCCGATGAACAGGGTCTGGGAGGTTTGGGTTTTGACTCATCCATCTCTGCCCTTGCGCTAATGTGTACGTGATGGTATGGGGAGTGGGGGAGGACGCTTACACCCCGTGCCTGGAAAAGTCGCATCGCGACACCTCTAGCACAAGGCGTGTGCAACCGCACACATATTAATACACATGCAGTAGTGAAAATGGAAGCGCAAATTCACTTGGACACCCCTAAAACGGCTGTGGCGGTGTTTACTTAACCGCGGAGGTATATGCATACATACAAACAAAAAGACTAGAACGCGCGCGGCGCTAATTGAATGATAATGTATCACCCTCGTTCCATGGATCTCTCGCTCCTGCCCTTTCCCTCTCAACACAAGAATGGGCTGACTCGAAGAACAGTCGCGCAAAGCTCATCTCAGAGTCATACACAGCAAAAAAGATCCTTGATAGTGGGGAGCAGAGGGAATACCATAAACGTAGTTAAAACTGCTACGCGAACGTAAAATAGTGTCGTCTACTTTTCAGTAAGGTCCTCAATGGCCACGAGATGTAGATGAACTGCACATTTTTCGTATGACACTTGATGTACATTTGGCCACATCAAAAATTAAAGAACTAGCCGCTCTCATTCAAACGTAAGACAAATGAAATGAACTGGTGATCTTCGACCTCAGTGAATTGGAGTGTCAGTCAAAATTCCAAAAAAGCAACTCCAAAACGTTTAAGTGGTGTATATATAAATAATGTAGGGACGGAAGGGGAATGAAACGAACCTGAATAGTCACGGCGCTAATCACATGCTCAGATCGTGCACGTTCTTCAAAGTAGACAACCATCTTGAAAAGTAAAAAAGGTTATATGCATCAACTTTTCAAAACATGATAAATAAAATTTGAAAATTTGGATGAAGAGCAAATGTATCAGGTACTGGGTAGTGATTCAGGAAATATACACAAAAGGATTAATGACAACGCGCTCTTCCCCATAAATAAACCAATGTTTTGGACTAAAATAGCAATGTCAAACAATTAGGACTAGGTGATATCGGTGAATCTTGCATTAACTTACCTTTAGAAAGTTACTAATAACCTTCTCAGTTACCGCAGTGATGTATATGCAAGTTGGATAGTTAAATCGGCCAGCGAGTTCCTTAAAATGAAAAAACAGTTGATTAAACTAGTTAGATTCGAATCAGAGTGAAAAGACAATTTAAATGTCTTCGTATCCGACAGCGGAAGAGGAAAAAACTAAATAAGGGTTGGTCTAATTTTTCAATTACAAGCATCCAAAAGCGCTGAGAAAATGGCACCTGTAGGATGCCGTTGGCAGGTTAACGTAATGTCTACATTTAACGAAGTGGATTGGATAGGAGAGAGTTACATTTTAAACCAAACTTAGGAGTTTAGAAGCCATGTGTGCCCTTTACGTTGAGCATGTGAGAGGAGATGACGCCGCGCAAATGCTTCTGATTGCTTTTGTCGGAGTGATGAGGCATACACTAAAGGTCAATTCCGAACTAAATGTCACCATACGGTGCATCACCGTCTTTCCTCCTCGCTAGTAGTGAGTGAATGAAGGGGGAAGTGCGCGCGACGAGACTGTTTTTAGGGGAGGCTGAACACCCGTACATGCACGACCACTTACGCATGATGAGAGACAAAACACAGCTGCGTATTCTCGTGTCAGTATGACATAACATTGTACTATTAAGAATGAAGATATCACCCCTCAAACAGGTGTCAATAGCAGTGAATGTTTAATATAACTGATCTACGATTACCATGGGGATGCGGGTCCATTCTAAACCCGCATTTTACCTGTAACACTTGCTTCATTAATGGTCGTAGTTATGCCTGTGAAAAGACGTACACAACATTCGATATGTGCGCAAACCTTTAAACAGCTTAATAAAGATAAAAGCTTATATGAGCGTGGCAACAAGTTCTTATGCCACAAAGAACGGCCTCGCGCCAAAAATCGTGTAAATGAAATTTTAACCAAAACCAAAAGCAAAATTAGTTAACTGGGAAATGGAATGAAAAACATAATTAGCTTCAAATGTCGCACCAGCAATGCATAATCGCACTAAGTTATATGTTGTCTCACAGTGCCCCGATCATTTTGACAGTGGATGCGATTGCGTGGAATGAAAGAGGTGCAGACATATGGGGAGGCGATGGAAGTTAGAGAATGGCAAAAAGGAAATAAGTGCGAGATACCTTGAGTGCAGCGAATATTTTATCCACAGGCAAATCTAACGACGCGAAGAGGACCTTTTTTCCCTTTTCAGCGAGGACATGGAACTCCTCTAGCTCGGCCTTGGTCGGCATCAACTTATCAGGGAAGCAGAGCTGACCCTCGGCTAACCGAGCATTTACATCTCTGATGGACTGAGGCAGCGGTTCGGGCAGAACGAGAGAGGAGAGGAGTTCGATAAGGTACTGCGTCAGTATCTCGCGAGCCCTGTCCTCCAATACTCGAGGTGCCTGCGACGCCGCCGACTCGCGGTCCCCTGGAGCACCTGCAGAACAGATTAACAGTCCCAACGCGCCTCCTGCGTAAAACCAATTCCCATTCCCTGAATGTGCAACCACATCATCCGGTGACCTTCTCACGCACAGTTCCGACCGCCTAATGGTGGTTCATGCAAGGTATTGGTTAAGGAAGCACCTTTATGCAAGACAAGTGAATCTTATTCCACCTGCGACTAATGAAATGGAGTAATATCAGTGCTTGTCATGAAATCGCTCCTTAATGTGCGTTAACTACTCTGACCACTCAAAATCAAAGATAGCCTACAGCATCTGAAAGGAGTAAAATCTGCTCCCAAGGGGGGGAGTTATACAACACCCACAAGTGTTATCTATAAATAAAAATAGAACTACCCGCCATGAAATAATACCGCATTACGGAATAATTGAGAAATACAGAGTAAAACACCCACTAGGTTTATTGTCCATACAGCATTTTTCGAGGATTTTATCACAAGCGGCCTCTATTTGATCTCGATATCGGTTGAGGGCCTGCGCAAGAGCACTGCCTTCCCGCGGCACGGAAGCAGTAGAGACAAGAGATACCGTGGAGGTATGCCTGGCGATTGACGATGCCATAATTCAGTTGCTAAGTTGCACGCTGAAACTCAGCGTGGCAGGCGGCGATAATACATTGCTAAAAACGAGCAAGTCGGGAAGTTAATTTAAATGACAAAAGATTATTTTGAGGCAAAAAGGGTATGTATGCACATGTATGCATGTACTGCATTTGGGAAATAATGTTGTTTCGAGTGAGATAGAGATAAAAGCGGGTCCCACTAGCCGCCAAGTATGTATTTAACCAACTGTTTTTAAGTAAAGCGAAAGTCTATTTCGGACAACCTGCATCCAAAAAGTTCAGACGAAACTTTAAGGTAAGAAAACGCACTCTTATGTCCCAAAATCATTATCAGACGCTAAAGTTTCATTCAGAAGCGTTATATATACTACTCAATGCATCTTCAGTAATTAACAAGGGAAGACTAAGAATGCTATGATTCACTCCTTTTATCATTGTAGATAAAGGCAGGAAAAATTGCTTTTCCAGATAAACGGCGAAGTAGCCAAGGAACAAATTCAACCAGGGAAAATGTCTATCAACATTTCCAACTTCCATATTGCCGCTTTTTAGGGAAAAACAACAGTCTGCAATTCTAAATAAAATCACAGAACCTTACACTTGGGCAGGGCTATTTAGCACCAAACATCATAGAACATGCAGAGGTGCAACACCAATTAGTCTAATAATACCTTAAATAATGGAAAAAAATAGAATATTGTGCATTCAGTATAGGGTAAATGTACAACCCCAGTTGACAATCTCGGGGTATAAAGTGATCATTAACAGCATCACCACGAACTGAGGTGATAAAAGACAATAAATGCTTAATCTGTTGAAATCAACGTGTACTATAACACCACGAAGAGCAACCAGAACTATATGCAATACAAAGGCCAAGTAATCGAGCAGTGCGCTCTGCCGGCATATCCACTTAAACAAAGAATGCTAAAATCCGAACAGCTGAAATTTTGCAAGCCTCGTATCAAATAATTTGTGCTTCTTCGTGTGCCAGTTACTGTTCGCGCCTCGTGCTTTAGGTATCATTTCACATTGGGAGACAAGTGCGGGACGCCTACTAATGAAGTAAATTATCCGTGTTTACGATTTTTGCATAAAATAATCTCATTTGTTAATCCGTTAGTCCACTTTGAGCGAAAGAATAAAGTAAGCGTGCAATTTAATCCCACAGCCTCCATTTTGAAAACTGTTGCCCCATCTTTTGGTTTGTTTACCTTACATGTTTTTGCTTATTTTTGTCATTTGTCAAAGACAAGAGGCTTTGCCAACCAGCCTATTTACAGTTGAAATGAAGTGCAACCCTGGGGGTTCTAGCGCCTGAACATCTTAACAGCAAATAATACCTAACCTCCTATGCTTAATCAGGATGAGTGAATAGGTTTGTTAGTCGCATAGTCCCCGGGTCTTCCCTAAGGTCATGCTAAGCCACATTAAGATGGACTACTACATCACTGAAGTAAAGAAATGTCATTAGACCTCAGATATGGCTGGAGAACTGCACCGTCACTCATAATTAGAAAGTGGTGCTACTGAAGGATGCGCCTAATGAGGTAAGTAATAGAACCTAGTGCCAAATCAATACATTTGAATGGAACTACAATTACTGCATTATTGCTATGTGAGCGACCCCACTCTTAATTATGTTATGGCAGTGGAATATTCAGACACCGCTCTATCTTGACATTCTCAACACTTAAGTTACAAGTTTCCAGGATCTTCCGCTCGTAACACCTAAACTACTTCTATAGATGATTTTTCCTTGCCATGAGGCTTCAGTCTGAATTTAAGGATACGAAGCTACATTTAAAGATTAATTTACACCAAAACTTATTCTCATAATTCATCTATCCATACACCCTACAAAATTTAAATCAGAGCACATATACTGAAACTTGGCGGTTCGTGCTCTTGGAAGACTCCATGTTGGGTACAGCAAAAGGCACCTAGGAGTCATAGCCCACACGCAGTGTATTTCCTACTGTCAACCGCTCTGGCTGCAGGCCACTCATTCCTCGATACCAATAAAGTAGAACCCATCCACCTACGGGAAACCCCATTTCGACTATTGGAACAAATTCCCCTTTCAATCAGAATGCCATTTTTATATTTATTCAAGGTCAAGCGAAAATTGGATAAGTAATGCAAACTGAATGAGTTTGTTGGTTAATCGTGCTGTACAGTAAACATCATTTACCGTTTTTACAAAAATATTATTCACAGCTTCTGGTGATGGGAGTATAAGATTTTGATATCTCATACCTAAAATCGCGTGCAATCCTCAATATGTGCGATATTGGGCGTGCTCGGAGAGGATCGGGGATGGTGCAAGGTGCCATTGATTTTGTTTTTTATTAAGGACAATTGGTGGTGGGCTCTTAACAAAGGGGTCACTGAGGTCGCATTGAGGTCACTGACGCTGCTGCTACGGCGTTCTGCGGAAAAAGTTAAGTTTAAATTGTTTAAAGGAGTTGTAAATTAGGAACGAGGTCTGCCTCTAAACAATGGCGAAATTTTCACCACGTAACGTTAAAAACGTTTTTGGAGGATATTTTGATATCAGAGATGATAAGACAAACTGAAAACTACGCCAGCGATTATCCGTTCAAATGTTCACGAGAAAGTGGTGAATAAATGCAAACTTTATCCAATTTGTTCTTCTAATGGAAATATGAGTTAATTTCCAAGCAAATAATTATCCATGAGACCTTCGAAAGCCAGTAAAAATTTGAGTAAGATGAAATCCAAATTACGTAAACAAGAGCATATGAAAAGCACTTTTGTGTAAATTTCCATCCGACTTACTCGGTTTCTGGTTGCTTCGTTTGAGAGATCCTTTGATGATCACTTTTCTTGAATCATACTCATCGAAGGCGCTTTTATCGTTGCTGTGCTTGGAATTCTATAAATGAGAGATACATGTAAGGCCCGGGATGAGGGTTTGTAGTACAAACAAAACCGAGCCCCGAAAACAAAACATGCAGGCTTCAAAATGAGTCAATTTTGAGACATGCAAATGCACATGAAGGCCGACGTACCTCCCTTCCCCAACGCTGTTTAGTGGCTACAGACCTGGTCGTCGACTTGGGGAAATGGAGATCGACACACATGCATAATCATTGACAATGCAAAAGTGAATGGAAAATCACCTTATCTGACCTCCCAGCTGTTCGTTCCAACACAGCACCACAATCACGTTTTAAATGAAAGGTGCACACTTCTTTCACGGAACTGAGGACCCCTGCTGAACGATCTAGGACTAAGCAAAAGAGCCGCAGACACTGCTAAAATAAGGCGGTTCACATGTTTTCTTTCCATGACTGCCATTTTAATGCCAAACTATGGTGGTCAGATTTAACCAGTATTTCGAATGTTGACTAGGTTTCTACCTCTAGATAAGCAGACTGGCAGGTTATGCAGATACTCCTACCCCATCCTCATTTCTAAGCTGAAATTCGTAAGGAGCACAGGCTAAGTGCGTCTTACAATCATGTAAACGCGTGCAACAAAATGGAAGGCGGAGAAGGAGGAATAAGGGTGGGAGTGGAGGTTAGAAGTCGACTTACGGCGGAGCCGCACGGGGGTAGCCTAGAGAGGCGTGGCGAATGGGAAAGTGGAGAGGAGAGGCGGCTACGCGGAAGCTCCTCCATTTGGCAGTCATCGTCGCTGACGCCACCGCCATGGAAGAGCACTTCCAATGATCCTGAGACGGTGTCCATCCCGTCTCTGCAACGAAATCAGTCAGTCGTGCGGCAGTGACTTACTGACTAGCTAGCATAGCTATGCCACTGAGCACTCCATAGCACTTTAAGATCGTTTGAAAAAAATGCTTGGTCAGAAAACATTTCTCAGTGAATATCATTTATCCTATGTAAATTTTTCATACTACAGCGCTTTGAATAAAGCACGGGGTGGTTATTTTCCTGAGTCCTTTTCGAACTGGCATAAAATTACACAAATGCCACCACCTTATCTGCGAATGACAAAACGGAAGCTGTTTTAGTTGTGGAGGTAGACAAAGCAGCCCAGTACCAGATCAGGGGAATGTGAAACTTGAGGAATCACACTGAGGGGAACGGAACTTAATCTGATGTGGTCTCCACTAAGATCGAACATTATCGTTTGCACAATGCAACTTTTGCATCAAATGCAATTGACTTCTAACAAAAACATTTTCCTGATGGCATAGTTAATCGGAAGAAGCTAACGCCATACAGAATCCCAGTGGTCGAAAAATGAATCACCACTTGGGCAAAGAAGGTTTCAGCATTGAACGAGCACACCCCATCATCAGCATGACATCGCGAGTCTTATCAACCTGGAAGTTAATACCAATAACGTAGTCGTAGATTCCTGTTGTCCTTATTTACAGTGATTTTTAACTTTTCTTCATAAGAATGATTTCAGCGTTTTATAATAAGGAAAGATAGAACTTATAAAGAACGAATCCTAACTTTGTATTGCAGTAATGAGACACTATAGTTGACTTTAATGGCAGTATACCATGAGAAATAGTTACCTCCAGTTCCGTGGTGGTGGTTCAAGCTCTCTTGCTCTCTGATTCCTGAAAGAAAATAATAAAAAGGTCTGTCAAGCACATAAGTTATCGATCCATTACTATTAATTACATTTGACTTTGGCCAATTTTTTAAATCAAATTGCCGTTGCATCTTAAGGAGTACATTTATCGGGTCTGATGCTTTTGGAAAAGTTAACTGCGTTAGCTAATAGAAAAATTTCATGAATCATGCACAATAAGGAAAGATTGGTGACAGATTTAAAAACTACTTTCATCTTCACACCGCTGGAGTTCAATGTTATCATAAGGATACGACTGCTTATGAATTAAAAGCATTTCTCACAAACGAAATCTTATCACATCCAGTCTGTTATGCTAATCTCCACTCACGAGGACATAAAAGCACACTTACGGGATTTTTTCGCCTACCAATAAATACTTTGATCACAACATGATGAGGAAAAACCGACAAAACGACTAATCATGATAGATGATACCAAATGTACTTACGCTCCACTTTCGCTGATCAGAACGAAGCTTTCAAACCACTGTCTAAAGGCCACATCCTCGCGAATCTTGTAACGTGTAGCGGATGATTGCAAGTACATGAGCTTGGCCAGTACCTTGTATTCACGCCAATGTTTGCGAAAGTTGATGAGATCGTCGTTTTCTGAAGCAAGGGCGGCGATGGGAGTGGCGGAAGTGACAGTGGTGGAGGCGACAGGACTGACGATAGAGCACTCGCGTCGTTTTGAACCCGTGGCCAAGGCGCTTTTGCCTCGCCGCCGCTGTAATGGGAGCGGCGGGGCGACGGTAGCCCTCACCTGTCGGCCCCTCTTGTCCCTCGGAATGATTACCCCAGTCGGGGTTGGGGTAGTACTTGACCCCGTTTCCTAGAAGGAAACGCCACAGGTTGCTGCTAATACATTTCTAGCTGACTGTAATAAAAAACATTCATTTTTTTCATCGCTCATCAGTAGATTGTTAATGTAAAGATTGCTGCTCAAGGTGTGCAGAGCATTATGTCCTGATTCACTTTATCGTATAATGGCTTTATGCACCTCACGCTGTTACTCTTCCTACATTGATATTATACTTTATACGCTTTATACGCCTCCCAAAGTAAATCAAGTACTGCATGGTACAGCTCCATACATAAAGCAGGCATATCTAAATTAGCAATGCAAGTAATGAACTGAGAAATCTTTCATCGCAAAACCTCCATAGTTTTTGTGTAGTGTGCAATAGACACTGAGTGAAAAATCTGCTCTGATATCCATTTGATTTTCGCACCGTCAACTTTTAGGTGGCCTTTCGACAAGCTACGATGGTCTATTTAAAATTGAACTCGTTTAACAATTGTGAGGTGGATTACATTATTATTTGACCCCTTCCTAGACCGCTGATTGATAAGCACGGGTAAGGGTGGCTGCTGTGAAGGCTCAGCGCCGCACGCACTGCCAGTGCCGCTTTCGAAACTTTCATTAACACGCTTGCGTCGGGAAGGTCGTCTAGGAGGCTCTGTAGAGAGCAGAGGCGGGGCCAAAAGGGGCTCAAAATTGTGATGCCCCTGATTTTGATGGTTGTGGAGGTTATTGTGGTTGTTTCGGCGGTCCCGCGCCATGCTAGTGAGGCTGCTGCCACTGGTGGGTCGTCGTAGTTCCGTTGGTTTATGACGCGGCAATCGGTCCGGTGCCGACTCGTGGAGCATCGCCAGGTCATTGAGGAAGATGCCGAGGTAGGGGATTGTGCCTACAGTCTTCATCATGATCTCTTCGTGTTGTAATGGAGCGCGGGAGGCTTCGACATTTGGCCGGAATGCTCCACGAGAGTAACGAGCGTTCTCCTTAATAAATACATTTAACTTCACATAGTCCGTTATAGTATCCAGTTGTTAGTTCAAAAAATATTGGGCGTGCATTCACGCATTGAATTCAAAATACCGTGATTCAATAGACATAAAACGACACTTAGGGTTTATTCGGCGGAAGTCGCGTGCCAGGTTTGAATGTGTCAGACCCTCTGACGTCATTTCGGTCGCCAAGGGATGCATTTGGTGCGGTGCAAAAGCAGGGTTGTGATGTGGAAAAACGAAACTCTTATGACGTGAAGCTTGCCTTATGACGAAGATGCAATATCCGCCAGGTGTCTTTACTTCGAGGCTACAAACACTCGATCTGGTCAATTATATTTCAGGAAAACGGCTGGAACTTACAAAAACTACCAACTTCCTGTGGTTACGTAAATCTCGTAGCATTGACAGAGTAGTAAGATCTCAGTGAGTTGCATTTTAATGCGGGTATACAGACTTGAAATTGGATGATAGAAACCTCATGCATAACGCCCACTACTAATGGTAATTACGTAAGCACCTAGGTGCTTCAAAATTAGCAAGTCTCAGTTGTACACGAATACACAAGAGCATAATAGGCTCAAAATCAGTAAAGGCGTCTATTAAGAATGGTTTTGGGATTAGATTATGATCAAGCGTTAGTTGCAGGCATGCTAAATACCGATACTGGGGAATTACAAGATTTGATTCCATTGTGAGTATGCTGCTAAAGCGCGATTTCGTCGGATTGATGATTCGCGATTGGGAAATGTTTACAAAAAACCCTCACACGAATTCTAGCTAATCAGGAACTAGAATCATGTAGCTAAAAACGAGGCTTACGTAAAGATAACTGGCGGTTATACAACCATTTTGGAAGAGTTCTTCTTACGATCACGTGACTGCAGACAGACGATTCAGTGTGAACAACTAGGGTTGAGAAATCTTGTGAATGCATCAATAGTCACCACAGTGGCACATGTTCAGTTCCGTGTTAGAAATACACTATAGAACCATCAAATAGAATACTAGTATCTACTTTTACCATAGTTTAAGGTTCACATTATCAGGCAGCAGCACGAAAAAGCCATGGCTCACAAACAGCGAGATCATTAAACATTTATCACAATGTGAAATACCATCACTTTCTGCCTGAAAGCGTTGTTTGGGGGCTTATTTACACCAAAAGATATTATTATTACTGTTTCAAAGTGTGTTTCGATAATTCCCTTAATTCATAATTACTGTAAATGCACCATTTTGGTGAATGCGGAGGCGTTTCTTTGGGAACCAGCTAAAGAAATGGAACAGTTAACCCCAAAGAAAACAATAACTCGGGCACCGAGACATTGGATGCAAAGAAGATTCGGTAAATTTCATTTTCACCGTCCCCAAATGCAATCGCGGTAAATACCGGTTACTTTATCAGCATGAGACTTATACTGCGTTTGAACTTTGCCCTAATGTTTCCAAGGCCTTCGGATAAGTCCTGTTTCTAAAAGCTGAGCCCGTGTTTCATGAGAGGAGCAACATTCTTCTAAAAATGCGTCAATTTTCTGCTTAGAGTGAGTTCACATCACAATAACACCTGGCTTTGGCAGCGCCAACAACAAACTATCAGGCTTTCCTATTCATCATCGGGAAAGCATTGAATCTGGCAGAGGACGTGACTTTTATCACTTTACCAAAACCAGATCTTTCAATTTCTCATTTAAGGGTTGTGAGCGCCTTGAACTGTGATGCACTTTTTTCATACGCACAGTCGGATGTGAAAATAGATTTATTTTTTTTTGACAATTTGGTGCCCATACAGTACTTCCAGTGTCTAATGGACAAAATTTGTACTAACACACGCCTCGGAAGGAAGCCAACAGTGGGTACTACATGTTGTAAGAAAAATGAAGGGTTAAGCTTTATCTAAAAGTTGAAAACGTATGTACTATGACAAAAATTGTCCGTTGAACGGTCAAAGCACCCTTTCGTAAAGGACTAAGGCGTGTGTAGAGTTGATAGACATTTATAGTTTTTGGATAAAAATATAGCTTGTAGAGAAGCTATTGAAACAGGAGTCGTTTTCATAGTTCTCGAAGTAGGCAGACTATGAGAGTATCTAGGAGCCGCGCCTGCATACGCTGGCGTGCAACAACACATTTCTGCGCCCTAAACATTGGGTAATTAGTCATGCCATTTGATACTAAAACCAGGAGTTAGACCATGCAAACTCCACTTTGTGGAAATCTATACTGTTAAATTATTTCAAACCAACATTTTCATTAAAAAACAGAAATGGCAATCATTTCACAACCGCGAACAGATAGAAACTTGGCATCTATGAAACCATATCGAAAGAATAATTCTACGCTTAGAAAAGGTTTCATGGTATTACACTTTTAGTCACATTTCATAAATTCATGTTCGCCTGATATTAGTCAATGGGCGTTACGACTTCAAATTCCAGCAATGCGAATCCATCCAAACGCTGAAGGTAATGGCAATGTTCGCCCAGTGTTTAAGTGGTATCTTATCCAAGGAGAGTAATTCATTTAAAACAAATGGTAATTTGCTTATCATCATATTAATGAGCTAAATCAAATACCACGCAGATAAGTTTTCGATTAATAACTCAACTGCGTTTCGATGAGACATCGATGTTTATCTTTGTACACATTAAAAGTGGTGGTTAAGAGACTTGCTATTTTACTACGAAATTTAATGTACTTATATCAAGCGTCAAATGATCCACATTTAACCAATTAAACGAGTAGTATGTAACCTTAAGTACTGGAGTAAAATTATGCCTGCTGATCCTACGCAATCCCACGGTTTTGCCATCTAAGACGGCGTTTCAAGTCTACCAACCCATCGATGAAGTGTAGTTAGCGTCCACAGTATATTTACCTATACAAATTACCACTTTCACTTCGGCCATCATTTACAGCAAACCTCACTAAGAAATGTGTGGTTCAAGAACTTTTCTGGATTTTGACGGTAACCAAAAAAAGAACTAATGAAGTACTGCATTATCCTTGGTCGCGGTTATGATTCAAAACATACTTCATGACTCTGAGGTTGAACTGTAAACCAACGTCGCAGTTTTCTCATTTCGTCACAAAACCATAATGCTAAAGTTAACTTTTTGTGTAGAAATATCAATCCACACTATTATATTGTACCTTAAATTCTTAAAGGCTTTTTCAAGTCTTCAAAAAAGAGATTTAACGAACGTAACACATCGGTTTTATGCGTGAATTCATCTGTTGTACGCCAAGTAAACATCTTCCCATTTGTCAACTGAGAATTTGTCTTATACTATTCACCCTACCATTTAATACGCACTTCTAAACCTCTCATAAATCGGTAAATACAAATAAAGAAACCAGTGTGTTACAAAAATCTTTCCCAACCAAGCCAGCAACTTTTGTCAATATGTATGCCTGGAGATCTAGGTTATTTGTAAATCGGGAGAGGAAATTATGGATCAGTAGACGAAAGATAGATGATCTGGGAACTGCACTTGACTAAATAGATATTTAAAAATCCCTCAAAAGGATGTATCTCGGTATGCATGAAGTCACGTCACCTATAAATCTGGAAAAGCAGTTGCAGGTTTATTGGTCGGGGTCAAATAGCTGACTTGTCGGGACGATACCAGGCGAGTGGCTACCCGTGAATGTCTTAAAAGTAGTGGTCAAAAGTGTGCTTGGCGGTGTGACGGCGCAGAGCAACTGTGCGAGTAGCAACGTACACGAACTAACAACCGCACCCAGTCTCATGGTTGTGTATTTGCGAGCACCCCTAGCACTGCTTCAATTCAGTACACCGCCCTCCACAGCGGGGTAGTTGTAAGGCTGCAAGCACAAATTGCATTGGTATGGTAGGCAATTTAACAAAGCCGTCAATACCGCCCAAGAAATTGTACGAACACGGAGAACTAACTCAAACGCCTCCCACAATGATCCATGTTTGAAAAGAAACCCACTGGCTATAGCTAGCATCGCAAATATATGGCCGAGTTTTTCAGTGGCTACCACTACTTTTTGCCTAAAACAGCACTGAAAGCGCAGTTTTTAGTTACAATGTAGGGAAATTTCCCTCCTACAGAACTGTACAGCATTCACTGTGAATCTGTTCACCGAAAGTTGCTTCATTAAACACGAAAAGTTGACAGTCCAGAGCAAATCCATTATAAGCACTCTAATTCTGGAATGCAGCGGATTTCAAGGATATCAATAAGTGTCATTTGATGTTTCATCCGATATATGTTCTCTAGCCAAATTTTAGTGTCAAATATTCAATCGAAAAAAGGGTAAATGACACTTGAAGTGCTAGACAGACGGCTGCAGATGTATCAGGTGGCCAAAAGTTTTTGCGGTTCTCAGTGTATTTCGCCGCAATAACTTGTTCAAACTCACGAGAACGTGTGAAATGCCTATTTTCATTTGAACAATGAATCTTGAATATGCGTCGGTCTATCGGTGCCCTTTTTTGCGTTCTCTACTACATTCCCATTATTTTGAGACTAGTGTGATTCGGAGCCTATCTGCCTTACCAACGTAAACTCGTTCTCAAAGCCGTAGAAGCTTCCCACTAAAATGCGTCTAGTGTGTGGAGAAAGTGAGGTGGGAGAAGGTACCGCCCAGAGATTACTTTAACAGTTTAATAAAACAATAGATATGGCATTTCTCGAAAGAATCTACATCCCCATTTATGGAGAATTACTTGTGCTTAGTGTCACGATACTTCAAGATTAAGGCATCAAGAGCAGCTTTCAGTAATGCTTAACGGGAGTGTTGAGACAACGGGTACGCTTATATCATCCGCGAAAGTTGTGTAAACTGCTAGATAGATGGGTCCCACTAAAACACATTAACAACAGTTGAAAATAAGCCTCAATAAATACCATACCGTTCGCAATTCTCTCACTTTCGCTATAAAAATGCTCATTTTGGATTGTTCGCTGACTGACTTGCGATAAACTAGTTATCCCACACTTCTAAGGCACGTACCGCTCCACCCCCAGAAAACTGCATATTGTGTGTGGTACGCTGTAGATGGAGTTGTTCACCATGCATTGCTCATTTGCTGAAGGGCCTAACATTTGTGGCCGTGATTTATCTGCTCGATGCAATACAACTGAAAGATGTGTAAGAACTTCCTCAGAAGCAGTTAGGACTAGCTGATCGGTAGGAGGAAAGATTGAGTCGTACAAAACAACCAAAGATAGCATAGTCCATGGCGGAAAATTTGTCTTTAAGATTTGGACTTTAAGATGAAAAGAAGGCGATAATGCCCCACCATTATCCTCCCATATTCTCCTCTTTTTATCCGGATGATTATCACCTTTTCTTGGCACCATATAGCCACGTACAAAATAGAGTAAGTTAAGAAATAAAAATGGAATAGAAAAAGAGTTGGCACACTTCCAGAGGGAAAGGGTTTTATAAGTGAAGTTCGCAAGTTTGTGTCTCATTGTGGAATGCTGATCGGTTGTAGTGGTGGTTACTCCTAGAGGAAAAGTCTTTATAGGGGTTTCCTACAGTTACTTAACTTCTCTTATAAAGAATTGCATGAACTTATTTGGTTACTTCATATATCCTACAGAATATTCCATGGTGATGTGGCAGCATTAGTCACTATGGTCGTAAGTTGGCGTCGTCTAAGAAAGCTAGAGGAATTTGCCTAAAAAACAGTCTAAATAATTGAATCTTACCAGTTATAAATGAATAAATGGTGACAGATACTGTTACTATTCGCAATGAATGAAAATAAGTGGTAGCACATACCGGCAAGTAATCAGCGCCAATTTTTCGTCGAAATATTGTGGAGAGGATACAGTGCCGAGAATCTTGATGGTGGCCGATTTCATAGCTGGAGTACATCTACAAAGATACATGGAGTCGTGCATTCTGCTTAAGTCGTAAAATTATTTACTTTCCCAGAGAAACCTTATAAATAGCTATTCGTCAGAACAATAATGATTAACTCTTTTTGATGGTGCAGGCAGATATATTACCTAAACTGGAAAATGTTGTGAACGGAAACTTCACTAGTCCACTAGCGTTTCTTCATTATTCTTGAAACGCGTTTCGATTGCTTATCAAAGGCAGTAGAAGCGACAGCATGGTAAAGTTGCTGTGGCGACCGTCCGTGTTGCCAAGGTGAACCACCAAACAAAGCAATCACATAAAAAAGTGGTAATGATGAAAAGAAATAAAGTTATCAATACATATCCAACGATAACATACGTGATCTAAGAGTTCTCTGGCATACTTTTTATTGTCTTCCAAATTGAGAAGTTGCGATAAATTGTGGAAAATCTCCTTTTTTTCGGGATAGTGACTGAAAAGCATAATTACTATTTGGATTGTCAATATATAGTGCAGAACGCGCATTTAAATGCATTTAACCCATGATTTGTGAATTATGGGTGATTGTTAGAAATAAGCTCGTTGCAGAAAATAAAAGTTTAGACAACAGTGGGAGTACCAAGCAAGTTCGTGATTCCATATTAGGCACTGATCAAAGTTAACAAGCGGAAATTTCAAAAAAGTAATGTAATTCACTTCCGTCCGTTAAAGTCATTTTGACTCCGCCCTTGAGCCTATTTGATCAGTAGCGTCGAGATTATACACAACCAACATAATGCCGACAGAAAGTAGGTTAAAAACCTATTTAAGGGAGCTCTAACTCTGACTCATTTTTTAAAATCAGATGGAACTAACCGTTGGTAACTCTAGTGAATCCTCGCAACGCTATACATCGGCGAATATGAAGTCAGTTACTATGACGCAATGGAGGCATGCATGTGTCACTACGTCACTAGGTAAAAAGGACCTTATACCGTATGTGTTAAGAAATCCATCTAAGTTTCCTCGACCCGTTTTAACATCGTGTGAGGTACGCGGAGCTAAATGGTAAAACTATGGAATATGTGTACCTATACTTAGAGTGAACGGTATCAAGCAAACAGTGGAGTCTAAATTTAGTAATGCTGCCTAGTACAATACGTTATGAACACTACGGTACTACGGTAAGCAGACGTACAAATCACTGGCATTTATACACGGAAGTACATTACCATAGGTTAATATGAGGGAACACACCTTTCCACATATCCCCACGTTTCGTGCAAACTGCTGATAGCGTACCCTTGCAATGCCGTCATAACAGCCGTAAATGCTGAGAAGCTTCGTAGCGTTCGAAGTTCCTGTAATTGTTTTTTGAATAAAATAGCTCTTTTTAGGAAATTAACTCCAGATGAATAACAGTTTGGATGCCGCAAAACAGATGAAAATAATTGAAATCGGGTAAAACTTTGATAATACCCACTTTTATAATTAGAATGTGTGATAATTATGAAAAACCTCGGCATTCAGTAAAGCTCAACACATCAATATATACAAACAGCACTCAGTAGTGCAAAGCCTGGTAGAAATAGATAACGCAAGACATACGGCTGCGATAGAGATCCATTTAGACAACATTTCGGCTCTGAATAAGGTGCCATTAGACGACACGAGTTTAATATTTTGGCACGAAGTAATGTTGCTTGAAGACTGCAGGCTCGCATTTTGTCGACCATCGTGGTTCGAAATCTTGCGTCGGTCGTTTTGCAACGGTAGGGGAACAATGGAGAGAGTGAGGGAGGCTAAGGATGAGGCAGAGACATTGGCAGCAGGAACCGATCTCGGAAGATCGGTCTCAATAATCGTGGTCAACACCAGACCATAAATGCGATTAAACTGCCGTATGGTTGAGTCTACCGTTGGAGCTGGCCGATGACGCACATAATTAAGACATTCAGACGGCAAAACTTTCAGAAACAAGTCCTATTACCGAAAAATTAATTTGGGATTCAGAAATAAAAATAAAAAAAAAACAGTTTGGGTCGTCGAGTATTGTTCTTACTGCGTCATACAAGGTAAGCTGTTCTGCGATGTGTCGAGGAGACAGTTGACTCATAGACCCTTCCCTTAGCGATATTTGAAGTTGTGATTCTATAAAAAAGGAAAAGATAAAATAAGATTTTAAAACGCATTACATTCAATTTGTCATGTTTGTTACCTGTACTAGCTTCCAACGCATCTTTATCACAATTTGCTTCCCTAAAGAGTCCAGCTAGGAGATGAAATCTATCCGAAGCCATATTAATTTTGGTGCAGATTTCCTCCATAACTTGAGCTAGGCCTAACTGATATGATTTTGCCATTGACCGAATGAAGTCTCTAGCCTTCATGATAAGTTGGCTTTGAGAAAACTCTTCTGATTTTGAATGCTTTCGACGAATCGGCTGAAAGTTTGTTGCAAATACACGAAGCCACTGTGAAGCCACAAACGACAATCTCTTGAGATCGAGAAAATCTGGAGGACTGTAAAATGACTCAACGTGTGGATTGTCCAGCCACCGATCCAACACTTTAGTAAGCGACCTCAAAGTGTCCAAAACATTACAGAATGAAATAAAGGTAAAGAATAAAATTTTGCCAAAAAATTGCACAAACAGCCTTACAATTGCAATATCATGACTGCATGTCTAATTTTACAATGTGTATATACATTATCTCATCAGGGTCAAAATCATTTCATTAGTAAATTTGATGTTTTATCCTGAAAAGAAACGGAATTACAATAGAGTAAGGTCAAAGAAAGGCTGTAAAAGAATTTTGGAGCAAATTAAATAGCAAAGCTGTACTAAAGAAAAGAAAAGTAATACGTCATTACCGAATAAGCTTGAACTTCTCATCTGGATACACATTTGAGTCAAAACATAAACGCCAAAACCTGAAAGGAATGAAAGCTAAATCTAGTTACTTCGCATCAAGTGTTGTTAATAAGCAGTAGACTGTTGTGTATAAATGGAAGCTCAGTAGTAGGGTATCTATTCTGTCATCGGCAACATGAACTATATCCCGTCCAATTATATATTGTATTATATCATCCACCGTTCCTGCGTTCAGTTCCATGGCCTCGTGATTAATGCTTGAGGACTAAAAATGTTTAAATTACAACGAAGTACCACGGAAAGTGAATCGGCTTCCATATTAATAATGACGCTCATGTATTACACAACGCAGTGACCATATTTAATCCAAACTTTGAATTGCGCGCCGGCGTTATATAAGGTCAAACAAAAATATTGTTTTTTTCGCAGCAAACATGTATCTAATGGCTTGTAACAAATTAAGAATCAGTAAAAATTTTTGTGCGTAATATTTACCGCCACTAATGCGCGCAACTTAAATTACTGTATTTATATTATTGGTCATTTGCTCGCCAATAATTCGATATTGGTGTGAGTCGTGCTTGCTCGACTTGTGGGGTTGTTATATTACTGTGTCCGCTGCATCTCCCCGGGTGGCTCATCCTAATTCCCAATCATATAAGCCTTTGTCGTTATTGTTCTGCAGTGCTTTGATTTTATATTCAACTTTAAGCGATTAGTTCACTTGCAATGTCATTACGATGTGCTATTATTATGATGACATGAGGGGAAGCAATTTTCTTTCTAATCTTATTTCTGTTGAATCCCGCTTTTCTTCTCCTTGCATTCTGTGATGTGCATCCGATAACTAAGTTACAGGTTCACTAGCTGATGATTTGATCGCGGGCATGGTGCTTTTTATTACGGATTATTCGTTACATTTTTCTATGTACCTGTTGATGGAAGGGTGTTTTGATATTTTAGAATACATCTTGTTCGAATGATTTCCTAATGTCCTCCTGTAAAGCGAATTTCTCCGGTGTCGCTGCGGAATACATTTCCTCGAACATTCATCGTCTCGAGGTGGCCACCGGTTGTTTTGTTTGCCTGCAATGTGATGCAAATGAGTGGAGGGGTTCTTGGAATCCCGAGTATTTCAGTGCTCATGTAGATAAAGCTCATCCCGATTCTGAGTCGCTCTCATGTGTGTTTTGCGGCTTGGATTGGCCCGCAAAACGCTTTGTTTCCCACATAGCAGGGCATTTTGCGACTAGTGATTCTCGATCGACTTATCTTTATCCCTGTCCAGTACCAGCACATTCCTCCGCCTGCCCCTTTCAAACCAACAACATCCACTGTCTCAGGGTTCATCTTCTCTCCGCGCATCGGGGCGAGCAAGTAATCTACAGGTGTTTCCATTGCTCAAAAAGGGAAAAGTCTCTGGAATCATGGGTATCTCATATATCAGCGCATGCCTTGCGGATCTACCACTGTGTGATCAACGGGTGCTACGTCAAATCACCATCCAAAGAACTTATTATTGATCACATCAAGCGATCGCATGGCCGTAATTTCATCAGTTTAGTACGTGAAAGTTTGGAGGTGAGTCTTCAAAATAGCTCTTTTTTTACTACTGCGTAAGTTAAACGATTCTATGGTGCCTCCAAGCTTTGATCAATCGAGAAACTAGTACGTTTCGTAGTATTTGTCATTGTGTTTAGGTTTTATTTTTACCTGCACTATCAAAAATGCCACACTGAATGGCATCAGATTTGCTTACAGGGGTTTTCACTTTGTTTGGGTGGATGTGCGTGCTTTCAAGTTTTGCAGTTCATTAATATCTCCCTGTGGTCTTGTCTGATTAGATCACGTTGTCTATAGGATTCCTTAAGACATCATACAGGGTGCTGAGGTTGTTGCATGCATTTTTACTCTGCCTTCTGTGCCATCTATGAAGGAATGGTGAGACATTTTGTTTCCGTGAATGTGGCCTACCCAATTGGATGCAATCCAGATATCTCATGGCCTTTTTTCTGCTTGTTTACCGCCTCCTAGATGCGTTGGCGTTCTTCACGTCACCTTCGCCTGTAGGGCGATATTGCTCCTCCGTCGCATTTTTCCGCATCGTTGATACAGTTCTCAGTCCCCTCTACTTATGGACATTAAGTGTAGTATCCACTGTCGATTTTTGTTGGTACTATTATCAACTTGAAGATCGGCGAAATGTTATGAATATACAAAACTCATAATGATGTTTGGTAGTTACGCGTTATTGACGTCTCCAGGTAACATTGGTCGAAAATAGTCGCTATTGCTTCAAGTACGATTATCGTTCCAGTTTTGTTAAAAGCAAGCATTTGTAAACTTCAGTAGGGGTGTGGAATTGAGCCCTTTACTCATTTCATTCATTTTAATTTCGTTAAAATCTAGACTTTAAGATTTTTATTGCTTCCGCTGTGTGCGACTCGTCGCTGATAGCCGTTAACCCTATTTCATAATAGTGGCATTTGCGTCAATTTAAATGGCCCTTTCCGGGGGCTCGTGTTAAACATCAAGTCAAATTTTCCCAATGATTATACCGATCCTATGGCAATGTGTACGTTATTAATGGTATCGGTCGAATGTGTTATGATTTAGATCTACAGAGAGATTTGATTCCTAAAAATCCACTTCACTATTATTTAGAATTGCAGCATAAAATTGGTTCATGGATTTCCTGTTTTTTGATTTTCATGGACTTGGCGGAACTAAGGAGGTCGACTGATTCAATAACCCCTGATTTCAAAACCTGTTTAAAAGCGTAGGTAACGATAGCTTTTAGAACTACTTCTTACGTCTGGCTTTAGGTGAATTTCTTTTGAATCATTTGGCATAGTTCGACAACCTGGTCTGTTGACATCGAGGCGATTAGCATGAATAAACACCCGTGTGCGCACATTCGCATAAATACACTGGTATGGATGGATACACTGCATGCAAGGCTATGCGGTCGACACCCTGCATAATTCAGGACCTTTGCGTGTACACACACTTGATCTTGCACCCGTTTCACCACTGCAAGTACTCAATATTGTATAGTCGCACACAACTTGTGGCTGCTTTTGCATGAACCCGCTTCTTCCTTTTAATTGTTTGTTTCTCTCATGGCATTTTACGTCTGCTGTGAACGGATTCCTGAACGCGAAGTTAGTCTCTTGCTTGAGGGTGCTTTTGTTGGTCTGCAACATCAGATCATCGGTATCGATATTCCTTTGGCGTAGTATCTTGTGAGATTGCTTTGATGTCTTATTTTCGAAGCAGTTGCTTTTTTTAACTGCATACACTTTTGCTTTTAGTTTGAAACTTTTTGCTTTGTTACTGGGTATTACGTTCCCTGAGAGATTCATTGTTCATTGTCAAGCGGCTGACTGGCTGTTGTGTGCATTGGTACTGTTGGCCTGTTGCTTCATGTCAATCGCTAGGCGGATTCCATTTTTTTAAGGCTTAAGCTCTTCCATATGGCGCAGTGATCTCTCCGTCACAACTCTCACAAATCGAGCGGTACTTTTGATGCACATTATCCGCAACTCACCAACGACATTGTTGCACCTAGGTCCTCCTAATTCTCACACTGTCATTCGCCATGGGACCACGGTTGCAATAGCGTGTCTTTGCCATAAATTGGTGAAATGGTACCAAGCTGAATGAGGCATCTGTCAGTTTAAGCTATATCTTCATCTTCCATAAAATCAGCACGCACATGCACGCTGGATCCAATCGATGCATCGTATTCGCGCTCTTGGTAGTGTGGCAACGGGAGATTGGGGTGGCTCTGCCTCCATTCAGAACGATCAATGGCACTCCTTGCTCAAGCTAACAACTTTTCTTATGACGACGTGCTTTCTTTCTGGTGCTTTACCTTTTATGACAAATCTATAACTCACTTCTAGTGTGATCTTGTGTATATTTCCGTAAGACTCTCAAGAGAATTTGTTTGTTAAGTATGAGGAATTAATTCGTGGTACTTTTTAAATTACCACAATGCTTTTTGGTTTTATTGCTTTATCCGAGTTGGCAAAAAGGGGTCATTACCGTTTGTCCACCTGTGTTTCACATAATTTTGGTTTTCAAAGATGCCTGAACATTTAAAATTTTTTCTAAAATAGAACCTGCCAACATTTAATTACCTGATCTTCGATATTGTTCACGTTACCAACAGGCACCCAAGTATACGCAAAGATGATACTTTGTGTTTTTAATAATGTAGCACTGCTTTCTATCTCTCCAGTTCATCTGCGCATACGAGGGGCACGTGCCCTCTTTCTTGCGTTCTTTCCTCTTTGAAAAACTTGTGCAACCCCAAGCCCTGAGTTCGAGCGAGACGACGTCGGCGCCGTCTGCAGTCTCCTTCCTTACCTCCATCTCCGCCGCCGTGGTGACGACGGCAAACCCGTCGAGAAAACTCGCTGAGTGCGTGTCCCCCTGCCTCCGCTGTCCTAAGTGTCAGGTGGCCACGGCCAATTGGTCGCGTTTTCAGACCCACTTAAGCCTCTGTATCGAAAACAGCATCTCCTACTATCTCTACTGGTGTCCATCTTGCTCCACCGTCTCCACGGAGAAGGGCCTCATTGAGGAGCATGCTCTGGCAGTGCATGATACGCAGGTTGGTCTTTTCCCCATTTTAGCCTTTTACGGCAATATTTGTATTTGAGGTGAAAAAAGACCATTTACTGTTTTCTTTATTGGTTCCTTTTCTGTGATTACAAGAAGCATTTATTTCTCACTGTATTCATTTGACTGTAGGTAATGTCTAGAGGTGAGGTGTTCTGTACCTCTAGCTTAATTCTAGTCTGAAGTTCCCATTTCGATCAGCAATATCTTCCTCGGGGGTCCTCGTTATTCGAAGTGGAAACAGACGTTCCGCGTTGTCTTCCTACGACTTGGATTATTCTGAGCCCCTCTCCTTTTCCATTTGGAAAAACCTTTTTCCTCACATCTCGCCATCGGGGTTTTTATTGATCGATCACGGACCTGCGTCAGTGCAAGTCGTTGCGCCAGTTGAATTAAGGCCATCTGGCGACTGGGCGTACATGTGAATCACGTCGATTAGGCACTGGGTGTGTGATAAGCGTGGTCCTATGAAAAAGCTGGACACCCGTCTTCGTGCAAAAAACGGATGGACCTCTCCTTACTTGGGGAAGCTACGGTTGAAATATAGCTTTGGTCCTGGCAACTGTATATTGTAATAAGACTTGCAATCCTCTAGCCAAATTTCCCACTGACCACTACTCAAGGCTGGCACAGTTGTCTGATCGAATAGTAGTCTGCCACATACACAAGACATGGATGATTGTATGCAAGGCAATGCCATTAGCGAATGTTTCAACTCATGTGAAATGTGATACCCACTGCCCATCTTTGCATACATTCGAGTTAGGTTTCGTGCGCTCACTCACGAAGTAACTAAGTTCGCTCACCCACGCGCTCGCTGGCTAGTTCTCGTCGTCTTCGTGATTTGGTGTGCGCACATGCCCTCACAAGTTGTCTCAGGCTGCGCGCGCTCCTGACAGTTCTTTCGCTCGCACAGCGGCAGCAGCAGTTGTTTGCGTGCGCGGCAGCCTAATTCCACTGAGGCAAAGACGGCGGGCATCGATTGGCGGTGAATGCCAAGATGCTGCTTAGTAATCTATGTGCATGTGTTCACACGCGTCCAGCGCTTGAAGTGTAGCAGACGGCCAATAACTGCTATGGGCCAGCTTCTTCCTTGGATGCAGCAGTAAGCCTTCAGCGTTTTTCTCTAGCCTACTCCTCGTGGTAATCGCTCGTCACTACCTAATGAACTTTGAACTTTCTTTGCTTGTTTCTAAGTTAAAATAGCATTTGAATACAACAAGCATTGGTGTGGAGATTTCGTTTGGACTGTTTTCAGGGTGCTACTTTGTTGACAGTTGGTAGAACTTTGTGGTGCGTTCCTCGATTAGCGATAACTCGGGAAAGTTAATATTGTTTAGGTTTTGCTACTACTTCGGTCTGGGTTTTTGAATGAGCACAACCCTCAGTAGTGTATTGCCTGCTTCTTAATGACCAAAATAATTGATGACTAGTCTAGTTCCTACACTTGATTCGTTTGTTAATCCAAGGAGTGAAGTGTTCTTGGTCATAATTACTGAAGCAAATGAAGTTTCTCTGCTTCGCTACTTTTGCATCCTCTTCGTCCTAACCACCCACTTCAACGCGCTCGCCCGCGTAGGCACGCGTGTGCGTGCGCGCGAACACACGATTCCGTTGAAGCGCGAGAGTGAGAGGGTGTGTGCATTGATCGACGCGATGGACGCATGCATTTTCTCGGCTAGAAGCGCTACGGGCGCGACCAATGAACACTCCCACGTCTCGGAAGCCGCCAACTCGTCATTCCTTGCGTGGAGGAAGACTTGTGCACGCCGTGTGCACGGCTGTGGGTGTGTGGTGTGGTGTGTACGTGCATCCGCGTTAGCTGTTCGCTTCAACTACGCGGTCGTTCCTTCGTTGGCACGATGAATGATAGCCTTGTGTTTGACTCTTCCGTAGCTACCATTTTCCCGGGCTCTAGCTCTATTCTCATCCTCTATAGCCGGGCTTTGGCACGGGGGATTATTTGTACCAACCAGCATTCCATGAATTCAAGACCCTTTACTACGTTTTCTCTGTGCATTCGGTATCTGTTGCTAGATGGAAATCCCCTTTCTTGAATGCTATTCTCATGGGACTCGGGGTCGGCAGTTCTAATGCCTTAAATCTTGATGGTCGCTAGGTACTTGCCTCATTCCTCATGCATATTTGCGGCATTCGCTTTGAGCTCCTCCAAGTGATGTGTTTTTGTATTGTTAAGATCGATATCGCCATCTAAAGGGAATGCCAATTAATCAACATTGCACTAATGGTACTTCAAGAACTAACTCTCGTGTACTTCATCAGAGCTATTTATGGGGAGATTGTGTCGGCTATGGGCATCTTGAACACCTCGTTGGTGCTATAGTAGAGTTCATTTGCTATATCAGTTCAGCGGTTTGCCTCTCGATTTCAAATCACTCCTTCCGTGTGATTAAACTTCAGAATTCCACATGGTCCTTTACCATAAATCTCCACATGCATAACATGGACTAAAATGGCCTTTTTCTGAAGGGTTCACCCGCAAACAAATGCGTTGGATCTGGTAATAGAAATCAATCTATCTGCTCTCCTTTGCACGATATCCAGTTGTCAGTGTCGGTGAAGCCCTGTTTGCTGGTGTTGAAGGCGAGCGCGCCGTGCGTGGCCGCGCTCATCGCGTAGAAGAGGCGCTGTCAGGATGCATTGATCGAGAACGTCGTGCGCGCATACGCGCTGAGAATGGTAGTGTAAGATGTCGGTGGCGTCTGCCAGCCAATGGTAGCCGACTGCCTGCAATATCTGCTGGGTTTCCTGAAACCTTCGCCCCGTTCCCTGGCTTTGTGGGTATGTTTAAGCGCACTGGGTATGCGTTCACGTTTGCACGCGCGCACACACGCGCATCCGCCTAGGTGCGTTAGTGTGCGCCACGTCGCTCTCAGTCTCCTTCCCTTTGGACGTCTGCCGTGTACGACCAACTTATACGCATCGCACACCCTCAAACCTGAAATACTAGCCTGACACTTATGGTAACTCCGGTAGTCTCCTACATTACTTTTTGGTTTGCCATTTATGAAGAGCAAACATGTGGCTATGCCTCGTTAACTGAAAGATCCCTGCTTCTCTTTACCTCCACGACAGTACACAGGGTTCAAGTAGATTGGAACCCTGTTTTAAGTATTGTAGTTGAAGAGTATCATTTGAATATGAAGCTTGACGGCCTTGCACTGGCTTTGGGTTGCTTTGACGATGGCAGCTTCAGGGCGAGCCACATTTTCAGTATTGCAGTCCACTGAGCGATGACGTCATCGACCTCAGGACAAACCTCCGGCTTATTGGGCCTGTGCAATAGTCCGTCCAGTGTGTGGGTAGCTATCTATGTCGAAACCGTTCGTAGGGCTGCTTGTATTCATTAAACTCCCACCCGTGTTCGTTTTAGATTGTGGTCTCATCAAGGTTACCGTACTCTTCTTGTAGCCTGAAAGCCAGAACTTCATGATATTTGCCGTCTTACATGATCTGATGGATTTCCTTATAGTACTGAAACCTAGAAAATCCATGCTGATTGGATTAACTACAGGCTTAAAATTTGTGCTCACTCTAGTTAAATCCATCAGTGTTTGTTACTGTTACTTCCCTATCCATTTGAATTCCTTTTGAAGACAAAGCACTTCTCACTGGTCCAAATTTAGCCAGAATGACATTCCTATGACTGTAGTCATCCAAAAACAGACTTGTAAGGGGCCATAGTTCATCACTGTCCTTAAGGTTTGTGTCACGCCCATACTTTCCGTGCCTCTCCTTCGCCTACTCTAGTAATGGCATAAATGATCTCATTTGGCCAATCATGTCACTCTATCCGCATTTTCCTGTCCCTCCTCTTTCAGCTCCCACTCAATACGCCATCGTCAGCTTGATTGCCCTTTTCCTTCTTTTTATCAACAATCATCTATTCACTGGTCTACTCTGAATTATAAAGGTAGGCCAAAACAAGAAAAAAAAAGAATGAATGATTTCGGGTTGCTGCAAAGTTGGCAAATCCAATCATGTTGGAGTAATTGAGCATCAATACGCTTGTATACATCAGATTTTCATTTATTTCAACAATCAGTTTTGCATTTCCCATCCTATACTCCATTTCCTTTGCAGTTATTCCCGGACTGCCAAAATTCTCAACTCATCTATGGTCGTATACCTTACTTCCCAGACTTGGAAATTAAAGCTCTTTTTTGTTATTTGAATGAGATTTATTCCACTGATACGTCGGTTTCCTATTTTTATGTTTTCATCTGTAGGTATCCGTAGTTGTTGAGAATTGCTGCAAAACCAACATCACGCTAAAGGAATCGGATGGATGTGAAAATCCTCCCGATTTCGATGCCGCTCTTCTTGGTGCAGTCGACCCACTGACGTCTCAAAATCCACCATCGGATAGTGTTTTTTCAGCTTTTTCTAGCCTCCTCCCTCCCCCACATCAAAACATGCAAACTGACGCCAGTGCTGCTATTGCTCCGTTGGTCAAGACAGAGATGCCCAGTCCGAAGACAACTGGGGCGGATAACTCTCTATTTACTAACAATATATTTCTAACTCCTTCCAATTTGCAAGCGGTTGCAGCCATGGCAGCTGCCCTCACTGGCCTTGCCATGAACAACCCTCAACCACCACCACCACCTCCTGTTGAAGTCGTTGAAGATGATGCTGCGGAGATTGCTACAGACACAGAAATGCATTCTAATGGCTTTGACGAGGCTCCCAACACACCCACCTCCTCAACGACAACTGCAGAGGAGATAATCCGTACCGGACGGACAGGTGAGGAGGAATTGGTTTCTTTCCCATTCGATGAGGTGCAATTCCGTAACGAGCTAGCTGGCCAACTCTCAGCCGAGGTCATTAGTCAGTTGGCGGAAAAGATGCACAAATTTTCCTCATACGTGATTCGAATCCTGGGGAAGGAGAACCATCGTCGCGTACCACAGTGTCCCGAATGCGATAGAGTCTTCTCCTATGGACTACCGGACTTCAAGCGACACTTGCTAGTCATTCATCTAGGTGCACCAAGGGAGCATTTGAAAGACCTCCTGCGGTTTGTACGTTTTCCTAAGATGGAGACTGCTTTCTCCGACAAGCAGGAGCAAGCGGCGATGCGGCGAATGCGACCAAAGGAGATCGAACCAGGCGTTCGCAAAATTCCTCTTCCCTATTCCATTAACATTCTAAGACGCCTTACGGAAGGCCTTCCTGAGAGTACACGCGAATACATAGCTACAAAAATGCGTACGTACAGTACAATGTCGGCTATTTACGAACTCAAGGCGGGGCTGAAGCGGTACAAGTGCGGCCACTGCTACTATTCCTCCCCACACGCTTTAGCAGATGTACGGAAACATATTCTGGGCTCGCATTGCGGCATTTCGACAAAACACTTTCGGTTCTGCTTACAGGCTTCACGTTTGGATCACGTTGACTTCTGTCTCCTGTCTGATGAGAAGTTGGCCAGGTTGGCCCAGGAATTTCTTACACGAAGACAAGTAGAATCGGCTGAAAGTGAAGCAAGTAGTAGTGGAACCAGCAACAAACGCCCACATAGTCGTACACCATCTCCGGAAGCTCCACTAGTCACTCCACGCGAACCAGATGAAAACGGGATCTCAAGGTTCACGACAGTGATCCCGGGCTCAAAGAACCCTGTCAAGGTGCGCATTCGTGGACCTGTCCCACCAGGAGAAAATGCAGCATCTCCACCACCAAACTCTTTCTTGAATACTTCTGTTTCGGCTAATAGTGCTTCACTGGAGCTTTCAGACCTGCCCAAGATACCAGGTTTAGAAGGTGCGAATCAGATTTTGGATCTTCCTTTGCCATACTCTGAACCTGTGCTTCGCCAACTATTAGAAAATGCGGGTGCACTCCCACATCAAATAGAAGAGATGTGTACCAAAATGCAGGTGTACAGTTCCAAAACAATGACCCGTATATGCCAGGGTGATCGGACACTGGCCTTCCGATGTTCATGCGGACGACTTTTTGTCACCACACGTCAGCCAGATAGCAAGATGCGCGCTGCAACCTTGGCCGATAGTCGGCGCCATGTAATGGGAGTACATGCAAGAATTCCTCACGAATACATCACAATTTGTTGTCAGGCCTCGCGAATCAGCCGAGAGAATGGTTTCCAGCTCTATCCGGATGAAATGTTGCATCGGCTAGCCATGGATCGACCCATCAAACTCAACAGTCCCGACGCAATTTCCACACCACATATGCATCGTTCACCCTCAAAAGGGGGCAGTTCGAAGTTAGGATCCCTTCCACCACTGCGCCCACTGGCGGATCTATCTGGGGACAACTCCGAGGATGAGAAACCGATAATCAACAGTCGGCTGAGTCTTCCCATTGCATTCCACCCATTAAGTGATTCAACATCCAACGGGGGCGTCAGCGGCGGTGGTGATGAACTGGAGGAAAACATTGAATCTGATCCGATAGACACATCTGTTGTCCTGTCCTGTCTCAACGAACAGTCTCCAAAAGATATTGAGCGCATAATTGACTTGCCTTATTCAAAAACAGCCTTGCAAGTTCTCGTACGGGGCTACTGTCCACCCAGTTACTTCGGCATTCTTCTCAGAAAAATGCAAGTGTACACCGCATACAAGGTGTTCGTTACCCGCCGTAGAGGAAGACGGTTCTTTTGTTGTTCCGGTTGTAATTCTGTATCTCCTCACGGAATGGGTGACATTCGGAAGCACATTCTGGGTGTGCATGCCAAAGTCCCGGAACGTTACAAGGCTGCTGCGATGCACTGTTCACGTTTAAGTCGTGAGGATAATAGTCTTCTGAACGATGAAAACCTCCTTCAGCTAGCAAAAATGAAATGGAAAGGTACCGTGATTAAGCCTCTCTCGGAAATTAGTATGACGAGTAGCTTAGTTATAAAATCGGAGCCTTCAGCGTCTGACACTCAAATTCCACGACATCTTCAAACTTCAGTGAATATATTACCCGAGGATTCCCCAATGGTGGTGCTTTCGGCAACTCCACACGCTGTAGGCGAGCTCTTTTCCTGTTCGGCTTGCACAGTAGCCTCAACAGACTGCGCAGCGATGCGTTCACACGTGGCAAGGGAACATCTGGGTGCACGGCCCTATGAGTGCCCCCAGTGCCCGGAGACGTTTAACCTTTCCGCTGATCTGATCAGTCACTGCGCCGCTGTTCACTCGGACTGCACACCGGTCGTTCCACCACCTATTTTACCCGCCTCCTTTCGGGAGGTCATGTCTTCGGTAGGTCGTATTTCTTTCATTTAACCGATCCTTGGTATCCTCAAATAATTCACGCATCGTTGTACAATTAGCAGCGACCTTTTCTCACTTTGTCTGGTGCCTCATCGAATAAGGTAATTCAAGTAAGCAAATTCCATTAAAATTGGGTGCTTTTCAGTATGGATGCTCTCGTTTTTGAAAGCATGAAAAATTGCACGATCGCAATAATATGTAGTTTATGTTCCTTTAAGGTGATGGTGAATCACGAGGAGGAGCCTCTTTCACCTACAATCGCGGGTGGAAAGGACGCTGTCGCAACTGAGGACGATGAGATGGGCAAACTCTGGACCTGTTTCAACAGTAACAACAATAACAACAGCACCATCCAAGCGGAGGTCCCTTCGTTTCTCTCTCTTCCTTCCTCTAAATCTCTCCCTCCCGTGGACGTAAATGGCGTTATGATTCCCTCTCCAGCCGTTTTCCCCTCCCCACTTCCCTTGGCCACTGGGCAGTTCGAGGCCAGACCGGTCTCGAACGGAGTTGGATCCAGCCGAAGGAAGCCTTGTAAAGCCAACCTCGTCCAATTAAAGCAACCAAAGACCTTCCTCGAGGAAGACACTCCGTATCCCTGCTCCTCTGACAGTGGTGAGGCAGTTAGCAACTCCAAAAAGTCTCGATTGGATGATGTTGCGGAGACTACCGACCTTCAGTAGTCCTCGCCCTGCGCATTTGTTGTGTACACAGTACTCTTTTCGCTCCTGCTCGGTTACAATCACAATCATGATCCACACCACGGTCTATTTTATTTGTTCGAACTCTTACTACTCTGTTCTCTTTCTGACTGTATTAAAGGAAACGTGTTTCTGCATTTTGAGATAAGTTTTTCGTTTTCATTTCAGTAGGCGTTTTGCCGCGAGTTATCTCAAATATCACTTTTCTCGTTGTTCTACCAAATTTCAACTTTACTTCCCATCTAAATTGAAATGCCGTTGATATCGCAAAGTAAATTCCCTTTACTATCCAACAAGTGCGTGTTACTGCCGGAACGATTTAAAGCATAGTTAATAGGTAAGTGAAGCTACTGAATCAGCAATCACGGTAGCTGATGCGACTTGTTTATTAAAAGACCTACGCTGGCGTAAAGAATCTTTGATAAGTGATTCAAAGGGTTGCGCTGCCCTGCAGCGGTGCTACATCCTACCCAATTCGGGTTCTGTAAAATTCTAGTAGGGATTTAGTGGTGTTTGGTGCTATTAATCACAACGAGCGTAGCATGGTTTTAGGAGTTCACCTCACAGTCAATTCAATTTGATCCTTTACCACCACCAGCTAGACTGAGGCAAAGGGTCTTGGAGAGTTCAGATTCTAGTGATCGGATGATGAACTGTTTTCCTTTTGCGGCCTACTCTTGAGAACGTTCCCTTTTTCGAATATTATACGACCGGGAATAAAGTATTTGTTGAATTGTTGAATAAATTTATGGCATCCGATACAGATTCAGGCTCACAATTCGCGAATTTCCAAATGCTATTTTATTCACTGTGACAAAATTCTGGTATTCCATTCAAAACCTGGAATAAGAATCCTCTATTCTTGGAGCGCCATCGTTAAAAATGGTTATGGAGCGGAATGCCTACGCTCGCGGATAGGAATTAAATTGCATAGGCACAAAGGATGAAATTTTGGGATTTTATTTGCATATGCTAATTACGAAAATTAAAGATAGAAGCTCTGACAGTTCTGTCTAACCATGTCATTCGAATCGGAAAGCTCGAAGAGGGTGAAGAAGGAAGCTGAATGCCTGAGTCGTCAATC